CCAAAGAAACCTCTTGACTGAATTGCTCATACAACAATCGGCATTTACGGCCAATGTTTCTTTTCGGACTTCGGGCCGTAAATGGCCCAAGTATGAATCACACAGCTCAAGTTACCCGTTTTATGTTTTGTCAACCTGACATGTTACACACATATTTCACAATGCCGAGCGTTTGCGACTTTGGCACCCACTCGTTCGCGTCACCCTGCTGAGCCCTGTTCGCAGCGAGCAGCAAGAAGCAAACGGCAAGGGCGGTCCTCCACAGAGGTTTTGCTCTCAGAGGCGCACGGAGACTCCTGCGCGGTTTGAAAGACTGACAGGTGAGAGATGTGGAGGCAGCAAGCGGTGGGCCTCGCGGCGTTCAATGTCACTGCGCTGGGAATCCTGAGATCAGGCTTCAGCAAAGCAAAGCCGACACACGCGCATCTCCTCAACTTGCTCACACTCGCTCTGTTGATCGTGCTCCTGCAAGGCGTGCGCACCCGAATGCGAAAGACACAAGGCCACGAAGCCAAACCTTCGCCTGGTCATCATCGGAAAGACGTTGGCTGTCCTGCAGGTTGGGTTGATTGCGCAGGCAGCGAAGTGGGTGCAAAGTCCTCCGCTGGGCTCTTTTCAAGAGACGGCTCCGTTTCCTGGGCATGGGCGCTAGCGCGCTTTTGCGAGTGCTGGCAAGCACTACCTTGTCCGACCCATCCGCGCAGGCTTCCTGCAAAAAAAAAGCAAGCCAAGAGCAGAGCGTGACACAGGGCGGGCCTCCAGGTCCTGGATGTGTTGGACAAAGTCAGAAGGCACAGGGGTGTCCTAACAAGGTTGCAAGCGCCACGCCGTCAAGAGAAACGCACGCCTCCACGCAGTCGTTGTAGCTGTCACTGTCACCGTCCTGCTTGCGCGCACGCGCGCACACAGACATTTACACCTAGCATGTTTTAGCACGCCTGTTCTTGGAGACGCTTGTGAGCTGGCAAGGGCGGTGTCTCATCCATGTCTCGTCCGTCTTTTTCTCGAGTGTCCTTGCAAGCGAAGCAGTGTGTGGGAGGAGAATCACACCCCCTCAATCCTCAATGTGACTGTGCATGCGTCGCAGCTGAGTCCTGAGAAACGTGTTGGGCCTAACGCGTGAAAGAAGTGTCTGAAGCAAGACTCCTTTTCGGGGTTTCTGGGGCTGGGCTAGCTTGGTCAGCATCTTCCTGACACACAGGCCGGTAAAGTTTTTGCGGAAAGAAAAGCATTGCCTGGACGCCAGGCAGCGGCAAGGTGTCCTCATCATCACCGCCCGCGTCCTCCTCGCAGGCGTGCGCGGGAACATGGCTCACGCCAGAAGGGTCCGGGCCGAAGGAGCAAGAAACCAATAGTTCCACACCTAATTGCAAGACACTTCAAGGTTTGGCTTGTTTTTGAAAACAAAAAACTCCTCCTGCGGCTCTTCAAGATCATGGCCATCTCTGTCCTAGAAAGGGCGAAGGAACCCGCTGGGAAACACGGCTGTCAGACACAGGGTCCTGAGATTTCCCTTTTTTCGGCGACCTCCTAAGAATTTGCTTCAGCTGCGTCATCTTGGGGTCGTTGCCAGTTTCGTTGGACCGCCACAAATACCTGATCCCCTGAAACAACTTCTTGGTCTTGACGGCCTCCTTGGCCGCAACATCAATTTTTGTTTCACGTTGTTTGGGAATCAGCAGCTTGCCCTTGGTGATGAGGTCCATGTAGAGGTAAATGTCAGCCAGCATAAAGCCGCTGGGAACCTTGGCCCCCCTTGCAAACAAGCAACGGTTTGAAACTTGTGATTGAAAACAACTGAGGTTGATTCGGTATTTGGGTTCATCTCCAAGAAGGGCTTGAGAACGTTCGCATTCTCAACCACTTCAGCAGCTGAGGCTCTTGTCAAACAGTTCTCCAACTTGACAATGTCACCCCCCTTCCAAGTGCTAGAATTCATAAGATTCAAAGCTGCCGCCGGCAAGTTGGCGAGGACATGCTTGGCCTGCCGTTCCTAAGCAAGTGGCAGCATCACCCGGGAAACGTGTTTGGAACAGCTTTGAGGCTACGATTCTTGAAGGAATCCAAGCTTCTACTTCTTCATGAGTCCACTTGATCTTTCCAGGGCCTGATCGGAGAGTTGTTGAGAACTGTTGTAAACTTGAAGGCTTGAGTCCCTGGCGGCAGCTGCGCCAGGTTTTGCCCTCTGGGAAAACAAAGGGGCTCTCCTCCATTACGGCAAGGGCAAAGGGCTCGTCACGCTGAGCAAGCGCCATGCTTGGGCGCTCTCACAAAAAGGCCGAAAAGAGGCTACGGACAAGACACATGTTCTGAAAATGCCCTCACCTCGCGAAACTTGATCAAGCGCTCTCTGGGCAGGCGTGCTGATCTGGGCAGCCGCGCGGCGGTTGGTCGGAAAAGAAAAAGCCAAGCGGCTGCAGGGCCGGTCTATTGCAACCAAATTGGTCTGTGGAGCTTCTCCTGTTTTGCAAAAAGCTTGCATGGGTTAATCACGGTTTAGCACATGGGACGTTGTCCTGGCAACGCCAATGGGTGTTGCGTCGCTTTGTGATTTGAGCATCAAAAGACCCAACGCGAAGGGGTTGGTGGCAGCCAACTATGTTTTTCCTTTCCCAGCCAACTTGCTGTTACGCAACAACCTCTGGCGTTGCGAATTGGAGAAGTGAGTACATCCGTCTCTCCTGACAACCCAACAACAGACTGGAGCTCTAACAGTTTAATCACCCTTTACACTGAGAACACGTGCGGAACCCTTTGGGTACAACTGCTAGTGGGCAAACCCTCGTGCGCGTGTGTGTGTGTGTGTGTGTGTTTCTGCGCGTGTGTGTGTGTGTGCGCGTGTGTGTTTGTGTGTGCGTGCGCGTGTGTGTGTGTGCGCGCGTGTGCGGGTGTGTGTGTGTGTGTGTGTGTGCGTGTGTGCGTGCGCGCGTGCGTGCGTGGGTGTGTGCGTGTGTGTGTGTGTGTGAGTGAGTGAGTGAGTGAGTGAGTGAGTGAGTGAGTGAGTCAGTGAGTGAGTGAGTGAGTGAGTGAGTGAGTGAGTGAGTGAGTGAGTGAGTGAGTGAGTGAGTGAGTGAGTGAGTGAGTGAGTGTGTGTTTGTGTTTTTGTTTGTGTTTGTGCCCGCGCTTCTGTTTTTGTGCGTTTGTGAACGCGCTTATGTGGCTCGTGCGTTGGTGCGTTTGCGCGCTCGTGCGTTTTTGCTTTGCGCTTTTGTTTGCGCGGTTGTTTGTTTGTGTGTGTTGCGTGTCTGTGTTTCCCTGAGTCGGCTCCTCTGCTAACAACGCCGGCTGTTGCGCGGCGAGGATACGCAGTCTGCGCCACTGCGCTCGCCTGCAGCTCCCGCTTTCAAAATTGCGACGTTCTTCCTGCTTTCCGCGCGCCCAACGACTAATGCCACGGCGCTTTCCCGCTGCAGGACAAATGTCTGGAAACAAGCCAGCGACAGCGTCGCGCGCAGGTTGACTCACGCGCTTGCTTGCGCCAAGCTTCGGCGTCAGCCGCCCAAAAGCAGGCGGGCGCGCGCAAACTAGACTTGCCGACGCAACACGCAGTACCGATGCTCAAAGTGGACGATCGGAGCGTGCAGGAATTGCCTGGTGAGCCGGACGCGGTGCCGGTCGCAATGTTGTGTAGGAGCGAATGCATCATGTCATAGAGCTGGTGTCCAGCCATCTCGCAAGGGAGAGAGAAGGTTGGAAAGGGGTGAAACAAAATCACAACTGCGGCAAAAATGCGTCAATGGTGCAAATGCATGCGAGCACAAAGGGGTTCTCAGAGGTGCCTGTCAAGTGGCCTCATGAAAGTGCCTCATGTGGCTATGCCGATGAATCTGAATTGAACTCATCCGAGACGAAAGCTTCCATAAACACCCCGAATTGCAGAGTTGGTGTATGACCAACTCGTCACTGGCGCATGAAGCTTAGGAACCTAAAACCTCGTGGGCGCAGCCTTGCTTCAAAGGCAGGCAGTGCAACGCACATGAAACCAGCAGAGCACCATTTGGGTGCGGAATACCTTAAGACCTCAAGTTGCAGCCTTGATCGTGGTCAAGCGCGCTGAACGGCAGGCTGAATTTGAACGTATGAACGGTCTTCCCCTCGCAGGGGGCTCCCGCATGTGGCGAGTCCAGCCCACAGCGCCATGTCGGACAGGCCGTGGGTAAACACACTTATCTCGAGAGGCTGCTCTTGCAGACACGCGATTGTACTGAAAGGGCATGAAAAAATCAATCTGCAGTGCAAATGTCACATCATCGAAACCGAACATGAAGCAAACAGTGGTAAACCGAGGAAACACATTAGGTCACGAAAGGATGGCAGGTACGCCGGAATGGCCAATTCCGGTATCCCGTCTTGCTGCCTAGCTTTGTTAGACCAGGTCAGCAGCAAGACGCCTGGTCCCCCTGCAATGTGGAATTTCCGTCCGTGCTCCAGGACGACACACACACACACACACACACACACACACACACACACACACACACACACACACACACACACACACACACACACACACACACACACACACACACACACACACACACACACACACACACACACACACACACACACACACACACACACACACACACACACACACACACACACACACACACACACACACACACACACACACACACACACACACACACACACACACACACACACACACACACACACACACACACACACACACACACACACACACACACACACACACACACACACACACACACACACACACACACACACACACACACACACACACACACACACACACACACACACACACACACACACACACACACACACACACACACACACACACACACACACACACACACACACACACACACACACACACACACACACACACACACACATGGATTCTCCGATTTTGCTTCCTTAGACCGTGGTGACTTCTTTTTCTCAAGCAAATCTCAATATATTGGGATCAACGCATTTGAAAAAGCTTTCTCCCCACTAGTTGATTGAGCTTTGGCAGGCGGTGAGGTGCCAGAAGCAGAGACTGCGGTGGACGAAGCCATGTGTGAAGATGCTCCAAAGGCGACTGAAGACACCGGCTTGTTAGAGCAGGAGGAAGCGTCAGAAGACGAGGAGGGCAAGGGCGCAGAAGGCGAGCTGCCTCGAACTTGAGCGAGTGTCTAGCTGAAGTGGCTGCAAGTGGCTTGTGTGGTTTACAGCTTTCCAGAACAGGTCGATTTTCACAGTATCGAGTAGCTAGCTGAGTGAGCCTCAGATCCGCTGCCACTGCCCCCCGAAGAAATGCATCGTTGGGCAATACCACGTTGAAGCTCTTCCTCTGCAGGAATTGATAGGTTCTTTGCTTTAGGCGCGCGTTGACATCTGAATCTTGGGGTGTCGGATCCCTGCGGAGCAACTGCTTGGAAGCCAGGACTTCAGGCTTAGCCACTCACTGTCAATGGCCTGCGTTCCGCAGACGTAGTGCAACTTTGGATGCTGTCGCATCATCAATGTGTGTTGCGACTTTTTGCTCACAGCTGACTTGAATGTTGCGAGCGCCCACTGTCGCCGTGACTGCCTTGTTGCGCACGCGGCGCATCAAGCCAACAGATTTCATCATCCCAAGACTGATGGACGAGAACCGGAGACCCCACCGACTGCACAAAGGCTAGGGTGTTGTGAGAACCCGCCACTGCAATGTGGCGTACGCTGTGCTCAGCCGAGTATTCTCTCTCTCTCTCTGTTACTTGCGCGATATTTTGCGCAGACATCTTCTGTTGACGATGCCGTTCAACATGTTCTAGCGCTTACAAATTCAACATACACTTTCCAGCGCAAACTTATTCCATGATGCGAAAGTTCATTTTATTTGGATTTCAAATGAATTTCGTATTCGCTCGGGGCATCCCGAAATTTCTCACCATGATTCTGGGAACTGTGCGCATTTTGCCGTCATGATGGCAAAGAAGGCATGTCGGCGGAGCAACCAGAAGCTGGAATAGCCTCGTTATTGGTCATGTTGCCATTTCGCAGAATCGCTTCTCTTCTGGCTCTTGGATGTCAAGGTTTACTAGCAGCGGATGATGCCAGTCCAAATCATCGCTTCTCACAAAAAGATTCTCGTTGTTCAATAGTTTTTTTCGTTCTCCTCAAGCAGCATGCTTATCTGGAAATGGAATACTCGTCTCTGCGGACTGGTGTCCATGACGATGTTCGGTGCGGAAGTTTGAGTCTGTTGCAAGCGGAATTCGCGTCACCCGTGATGAAGTCGACCATGAGTTTCGCACCCCAATTCACAAGCGAATTTTGTCATGTCCCCAATGAATGTTTGGTAGGATCTTGGTGGCGTTGCGGTCATAGTGGCGCACGCCCACGGTGAGGAATGGAAGTCCGGATCTGTGTACACAGGTGTTTGTCGTACGCTCGTTTGCTCTGTGTGCTGAGAATCGAGGGCAATGCGCTTCCTTTGCCGCAATCAGGGTGAGGAACACGGTCGTTTTGGATGCCTGGTTGAACTCCCGGAATTTCTTCTAGTAGAGTCCAGGATGAGTGATTGCCGGACTTAATGGGCTTTCCCACGGTGGATCCCTTGCAAATATGTTGAGCTTGTGCTAGAATAGTCCATGCCAGCCAAGCTCCACTCTTGCCATACCTTGTGCGACAACAGTGTATCCAGCCATGGACATCCTCGTTTTCTATGTCTGGGTTCTCGAAAGTTCACCAACTGCTCAGATCTTCTTGGTCTTCGTGGACTGTGTGTAACACGTGCTGAAGAATAGAAGCATATGCATTCCTCTTTTCGGGAGTGTCATAGCCGGAAAGTCAGTGGGGACCAGTTTAATTGGAAGTGTTTTTTGGCTAGCGCTCGGGTTGTTGCGTGCATAATTTTTCCAACGTGTCCAGGATTTCAGGTTCCTTGCGGTGTTTGACCATGTGGCCTGACTTGACTTTTGGCTGGAGGATGGCCTTGCTCGGAATCTCTGCCCTTGACCCATCAACCTCAATCTCTTGAAGGTGTCTGTCCGGGGCTTGTAGGTGTAGGTGAACGCAATGGACCTTTGCAGAATCGAGCCACGAACCTGAGCCCTCTCATCCAATCTTCGTGTTTGCTTCATATGTCCGCAGGTGCCGTCGGCGGAAGGCTCTCCACATGATCGGCAAAGTTGTAGTTCACTATATCAAGCGCGCTGGACATATTTGTTAAGCGTGGTTTCCTGGTTCTTAGTCAAGTCATCATTTCAAGTTCGTCGTAGAGAATGCCAGAAACGGTAAACCTCATACGATATGTTCTCCGCCAAGAAGGTGAAGACATGAGCCTGGAAAGCCTTGTTCTGAGCCATTGTCCTGAAAGGTGGATGTAAACCAACATGATTTGATGAGCTCGTCCGCCTTCGCATGTGCAGAGCTCTTCGTCAGGCAATCTGCTAGACAGTATATATTCTGAACGTACGTACATGTGCGGGGCCACGCGTTTGATCACTGTGGCTTTCCTCGCAAAGCATCTGAACAAGCTGCATGGTTTTTCGTTGCGCTTGATGAGTGGTTGAAGTAGTGGGAGCCAAATTGTTTGCGTCGGTTCTAGTCTGCCAGTTCGCGAGAAATGACCAAAGTCCTCGGATAGAGAGACATGTGCCAAAACATCGCGCCAGTCCGTGCAACTCTGCCATGCGCTGGTGGACATGGTGGTTGCGTTGTTTTTGCGGGGTTCGTAACCACTCTAGCACCAGGTGAGTCTTTATGAAGATTTTGTTTGCGCTAGGAAAATCACATGAGCGCGCTGTGAGGATTTGTCCTCGTTGTTCCTGTAATGTAAGATGTGTCAGGGTAGCCGACTATTTTGGTTTTGCCCGAAGGCCAGAGTCTTCGATGCGCATCTGGAGAACTGGTATCGAACGAGGTCTTGGTTGAAGCATCTGCCGCGTGGCTGGGTTTAATTGAGCGTCGCCTTTTAGGTGCTTCACGAAGTGGGTCTCTTGAAGCTCGTCGATTGCTACGTTCTAGTGGACGTTGATGTAATCTCCGTGCTTGGGATCTGTTTTCCATTGGGTTCGCTGACCGCGAAGACGCAGTTGTTCTGTCTGGTCGGATCTTGGCCATGACTTGTTGCGTGAAGATGTTGTCACCTGTCACGAAGACGAAGGTGAGCATTGTTACCTGAACCCATGAGATAATCAATGGCTCCTTCCAAGTTGAACCCATTATGATGGACTGCGTGGCTTCTAGAATGGTCAACTTGAATCCGCTTCTTGAAGCTGTTGGGCTGTCTGTTTTGTTTGTTGGTCATTCTTCAGGACGCCTCCTCCCTTGTCTCTCTAAACAGTTCTCCCATCTTCCTGTTATCCAGTTTCTGACATTGTTTTGCTTCACGGAATTGTTTGGTGTGTGCTCGAATCTCTTGTTGTGTGGCTTCCTTGCGTTTCTTGTCAACTAGTTGTTGCGTAGTTGAAGGCTTGAGGGATTCTTGTCTCTTGGTGTAAAGCGTGAGTGCAGCTCGGTCGTCGTCTGTGATGTCGTATTTGTGATGTTGTTGTGTGCGCGCGTAGAAGGAAAATGGACTATTGACCTGAGCGGACTGCGCTGTATGGCGACTGGTTGGCCCCTTTCTTGGACATCTCTTGGCGCAGAGAAACTGGCACACTTATGTGACAACTCTGTTCAAAAGGCCTCAGGTCTGGTTCTTCGTCGGTGTCGCGAAGTGCGCGTTGTGAGTCAGAGCTCTCCAGTTCTTCCTGACTGCGCGGGGCCTGCTTGTTGTCAGGAGTATTTGGTGGCGATCCAAAGGTGCTGTTCCCGGTGACGCGCTTGGTCCTAACGAGGCGATCGGACGTGGTGGAGGATCGTGTGACGATGATGCCGGTACTGAAGGTTTTGCTCTTTGTTCTTCTTGTGTTTCTTGTTGGAAGTTACTTCTTCCTGCGTTTCATCATCGTCCTCTGCTGGTAGCGGTGGTAGTGAATGTTCTGTAGGTTGTGGTGGGCGCGACAACTGTTGGCCGGATAGGAGGCTTTGAAACATCACCCCCATCGACTTGACGAGGAAGTTGGCTGCGTAACTGCGTAGCTGACGAGGATGGTTGTTGTGGTAGTACCACCGGTGCGTCTGGATGCGCGCCATGTCTGCTGTTGTTCTGGTGTTGCTTGTCGCAATGGAACATTGAGTCGTGGCGGCTGTGGTGCTTGTGGCATGTTTTGGTCGAGTCAGGAGGACCTGGGTGTCCCGTGGATCGTGGCCACTGGCGTTGCGGTTTCCTTTGCGTTGGTGCTTCTTTGAAAGACAAAGCACATGCCAATGCAAAGGATTGTAGTCACACCTGTGTGCTGGTAAGACCCAGTACACACGCGGCGCCCGGTGTTGCTGTTAGTGGTGAGTAGCGCGCGATGCGGTAGACTGGTTGGCTTCAAGCTTCTAAGTTTGGTGTCGTAATCCGAACGCACCGAAATCAAGGCCATTCCAGGTGAGTTGTGAGTTTTTCATGAGCTGCTCACTGGATTCACGAGCTGCGCAATGGATTTCAAAGTCGGATATCTGGAGATTCTCTACGAGGAAGTAAAGTCCCGTATTCCGTTGATACCGTGCGATCGAGGCTGCAAGGTTGAGCGTCGGCAGGTGTCTAGCTCGTTTTTCTGCAACAGTTTGTGGATCATTTTGTGTCGCACAATGGGTCATGGTCACGTCAGGTTGTTGCTCACGAAGAGAACCCAGAGCGATCTATCGACCTTTCGAGGCTTGACGTCGAATCCACTTCAACGCGCAGCGTTGGCTGGGGCGAGCGCTTCCTGCAAATACCTCCAAAACATGGCCCTGTTCTGAATCTGAATTGTTCTACTGAAATGTGGCGATGTTGTAGGTGGAGTTTCCGTAGCTTGTCTGGTTTTGAGAGTCTTGCGTTGTCCGGTGGCGCATGAATGTGCATTGTTGTGCTGTCAATGGTTTGTCAGAGAACTTGAAGGTTGGTTGCCTGCCAGCAACTCTGGTGTTGTCTTTGGTGAAGCTGCCTTTAGTTGCCCATTATCTTCTACGGAAGATAATGGCTCTTTTGTTGCTACCTCAATCTTTTGGTCCCTTGGTTGAAAACCAGTGTGAGTGAAATCGGACAAGTTTTTCTTGTGTCAGGTGCGAACAATGCTCTCCTGTTGGACACATAACTCTATGGAGTTTCTTGGTTGTGTGACTATCCAGGTCACTGTTGACATGTGCAATGGTCTCGGTTGTCTCTGCTGCTAGAGTAGCAGTGATGGATTTGCATAGGGTTCGACTTAGTTGCCGACCTGTCGTCGTGTTGCGTGCAAAAGGCTGCTAGACCAAGCAATCTATTGACAGTGGTATGGGTTTACGAATCGTGTGGTTTTGTGACATTGTGGAGTGTGTTCAACTGCCATGTGAAAACTTGTCCTTGCTCACGAATGTCAAGCACGTCGCCGTAGATGGTGAGGTGTTGAAGAACAGTCGGAGAGTCCAGCCAACCTTAGAGTTTTGACCGTTGGCAAGAGTGAGCCTGGTACTCCGCGAGATGTACTCGTACTGCGTCCGGTCAGGATCTGGTTCAATCGCTTTCATGGTCTCTCCACTCAACTGCCCATAGGTTCTGTGCAACGAGGCTGACATAGATTATCGGCCTGCTTGATGATGGGCGCAATGAGTTTCCCGCGCGAGTCATCACTGCCGTTCGGCCGAGTTTTCACGTCTCTACGGGGGCCAACGAGCGCAAGTGGCCGAGGACAAGGCCAAAGCAACTTAGGACTTGGAGCCTCTTGGCAGTTTCGTGTCAGTCGTGACCGTACTTCTGCCTGCGTCGTAAAAAGAACTGTTGTTTCATGTTGTTTCATTCTGTGGACCACCAAGCACTAGAGCTCCAATCATCTCCCGGTAGGGCTCTGCCAATATGTCGACAGGAGGCTGTGCGGCCCCAATAGATTAATCAGTGGTGGAATCATCGGCCATGTTGGGCTTTCCGCCTTGTGATTGAAAGAGCGCCTCTTCGGCGCTTGCCCTTACCTGTTCTGCTTTTTTGGCTTCTTGCAAGGCTGAAGAGTCCGACGTTGAAGTCTTTTTAGGATGGAAGCATCGTGGTCGTTCAGCTGCCAGAATGTCATCGTCGAATGGACAAGAGCCTGCTTTGCCTTCGATGCATCATCTTCTACCCAGAATCCTTCTTTTTCTTCATAGTCACCTTGCTCAAGGATGTAGAAGGTCTTGGGTCGATTTCCGCCTGTGGGACCGATGTTCGGATCTTGAAGCCATGTTCTGGTGTGGATGAAAAGGTCATCGTGCTGGGTCTTTAGGGGTGTCGGAGTCGTAGGTGTACTGTGGAAGTTGGATACCTCCACTGATGAAGAACAATGTGAAATTGTTGTCTGACTGTGGAAATGCCTGTGCATGCTGTTGTCTTCTTCCTGTGATGAACTGGTCATAACTTGCCTGATTTCCTGAATCCAGGAAGACTTGATCGGGCAATGTAGGAACTGTGGCTCCTTGACGGAGTGCCTGGATTAGGGTTGCTAATTTGTTTTTAGCCTTGCGTTGTGTTGGTCACGCCTTCTCTGATTGACGTCGTCTGAATGTATGCAGGACTTGTTCTTGTGAGTTCTGGTGCTGAGGAAGAGGTCGAGGACCAAATATCTAAGAAGGCAGTGTTTGGATTTCTTGTACCAAATATGGTCAGTACCACAAACACCAAGTGTGAAGCACTTGTTTCCGCGCAATTGGAAAGCGCTTATATCAACCAGGCTTGAGCCAAATATATTGCTGCCCGGATTGCTCACGAGTGGACCACTGTGAAGCAAGCGCAGAGGAAACAAGACACAAAACCCCGGGCCCCCCTCCCCCTTTCCCCCCCATGTGAGTTTGATACCAGGTCGCCGGCGCAGCCGTTATCAACGACCAAGTTGTAAAACAACCTGCGCCAGCGCAGATTGTATTTGGTACGCGGCCTTTCCCGGGCAGCGCGCAGAATATTTTGCTTCAGCAGAAAACAGACAAGTGTGAATCGGTTCCCCGCGCAACACTGTCAGTCATCAAACCAGCCTGGCTGACAGTTGCAAAGGGTCATTTGGGGTGGTTTTGGGGGTGGTGAAAGTTTGTGTGCAAGGGGTTTCAGCCAGGATGGATTCAATCTTGGAGGGAGACCTCAGGTTTAGGTTTGGTCTAGGTATTGTTCCAGGCCAATTTGCCAATGGGTTGAGGTTTGATGTTGTGTTCAATTCAGAAAGTGAGCAGAGAGGAGGGACCACAGAAAGAAGAAATAAGAGCAACTGCAGAGCAGAAAGTGAGCGGAAAGAAAAGGAGGAGGGGGTGCGGACGCTACTGACACAAAGCGGCCCTTTTCGTGCCCAATGAACATGCAATGCGATTGCTTGTTTGCTCGCTGCGTACCGCAGGCAGCGCAGCGGCCCCGGCCAACGCAGAGGAGGCCATGATTGACGACGAGCCTCCCAAGGCATCGGCAAATGCGTCAGATGCAGCGGCATTGGCAGATTTGCCCTTCACACCCAAGGAAGTTTCAAGTCAGCTGTGCATGGCGCGCACTTGGAATAGCGGCATGGGTGGACAGTGCCGGATGAGCCCTACCAAGGGCTCGGACTTTTGCACCAGGCACGGCAATAATGATGCATGGCAGGTGCATGGTCGTTTAGATGGTCCAATTCCAGAGAAGAAGCTGAAAGAGTTCGAGAAGGCAGCGCGCACGAGCAGCAAGCCCAAAGCGGCATCCGACAAAGGGGAGCGATGCAAGAGGGCCAAGCTGTCTGGCGTGTCTGCTTCCAGGGCTTCTGAAGATGCAGATGTCGATGTGCCTGCCTCGTCCAGAGCAGTGAGGGCCAAGCGTCAGGACCAGGGCACTGTGCTGTCTGACGAGGAAACAACAGCAGAATCGCAGCCACGCAACAAGTCTGCTGGCCATTCGGGATTGAAGAGGAGAGCCACATCCACCAAAGCGCCCAGGGAGAAGAAGGTGCCTGCAAAGCTGCCCAAGCCAGCCAAGGCCAAGTCGGCCAAAAGCAGTGGAGCCAAAGCGAAGGGCCCCAAATGCACCTGTGGGAAGCCGATCCACAGCGAGAAGTGCAAGCTTTTCGGACTGGGCTTTTTGCATTCCCAGAAGCGCTTCGCTGTCCCTAGCAGGCCGAGCGTCACGGCTTCGCCCGGAAGGGCCTTGCCCCCACCCTCGGTGCAGCTTTCCCGCGCAGCCCGCGAACAGGTGACAAAGATCAGTGAGGAGATAGCGCAGTTGCCAGAGCACCAGCGGAAGGTGGCATGGAAGAACCAGATGCGCATGTTCCATCCGGACAAGTGCAACCAGTCGGGCTCTGTTTTTCCCAACCTCTCCGAAGAGCAGATGAACGAGGTTTTCGTGGAGATCAAGCGGCGTTACGACTTTGCCATGCAGGAGCAGCAGAATGACCTCATTCCACCGGCACGGCAATTCTGGGGCTGCGGTACGCGATAGTGCTGTTTTCACACATTGTCCTGATGCCGTGGATGGGGTTCGCTCGCGTCAGGAACAAAAATCATGGGAAACGGTTCAATTGCTCTCATGTCACTCTTGCTTGCTATGTTCTTGCATCTTGCTACACTTTATGCACAGGAAATCTGGAAGGCTCTCCTGTGAGTTAGCACAACAAGCTTGTTGTGCTGCCAGGGCTCCCCTGGGCCCGCCGGGCTCCTCTGAACACGCAAGTCTTGATCTCAGAGGTCAGTGACTTTCCCGCGAGGCTCAGCTCAACAAGCGAGCAATCTCAGCATTTGCTTCTAAGCGTGTTGACCTGGCTGTGGTGGCAAAAGGTGGATGAGAAGGGAGGCGGTCTTTCCTCGAATCCTTTCTGCCCTTAACGAGTTTGAGACTAGGGCCACACTTTTGTTTGGCTGTAGGCAGTTCCTCAGAGAGCTGGAGTTGAGTTATGGCTAAAAAGATGGACCCTATTGAGACTTCTCGGGCCTGGCTGTCCTCGTCAACATGTGGATGGCAAGTGGTTTTCAGCTTTCACAACTTCCGACTCAGGTGACTGTGTCCCAGCTTCCGGTCAGAATGGAAAGCCTGGCAAGGGCCCCAGTGCGAGCCTGTTTTGCGCGCCTGGAAAAATGAGTCGCTGGCAGGGCACCGCTCCAGCCAAGGCTGGATCCTTCTGGTCGGCAACATGTTTGCTTCGGCAAGAGGGGTGTAGGCATTATGATGGTTTGGGTGTAGGTGAGCTTGGACCGTGTGAAGTGGTGCTTGGTCTGAGCAAGCTTTTGCAGCTGCGCTTTTGAGGCCAAGCTCCAAAAGCCCAACGGATCCCTTTCCCCTTCCTGTGCAGACATTACAGTATCTTGTGATGTGGCAGGTTGCCATGCCTGGCCCTCCGCGCGAAGCAGGCGATATTGGATGATATTGGCAGTTATGCCTAGTGGAGGAGTGTTGCCCCCTCAAAGGGCGAGATGGTTCTACTGTAATTCTGGCAACGGCAAACTTATTGGGCTTGTTGGCACAAGACTTGAAACTTGCAACTAGCATCAACATTGACGAATATATCCTTGTATTCTCACCATTTTCCAGTTTGTCAGCCGGTCAATTGCTTTACACATGTTGTTTTCCCTACTTGCAAATCTTGCAGCCGAAGAAAGAGAGTACCCCCCCGCGCTGCCGTGGGAGTTTCTGCATTGCTGATTGGGTGAGGTGACTTGGGACAAAAGTCATCCATCCTTTAGTTGGTCACCAGGCGCCGTCTGGCGTGCAGTGGGGTGCCTGGGCCGTGCCTTATGCCGGCTGGCGGAGTGCCAGCACGCCGCCCGGCATGGAAAGCGCAGTCTTTGGGCCTTCGAAGTTGGGGGAGTAAGAAGGAAGACGCTCTTGCTTTGCATGGCGCAGTTGATTCCCAGCTGGGTTGGGAGAATGGCAAACTAGCCCAAAGCTCTTGCAGTGTACCGCTGAGGTTACAGTGGTGGTTTGCTCGTCTTTGGTCATGGGCCAGGACGTTGCGACTGCTCCGCTCCCTGTTCACGTTTCGCGCAACAGCTACTTGGCCGATGCCAACAGCCTTGCCATTGGTCTCAGGGTCTATCCGGGCTGTTGCTTTCCGCACGCGCGCGGCGCCGCTGTATGGCACGTGCTTGTGAAATGTGGCGTTCACAGCTCAGGTAGCGACACGGAGCTTGTTGCAGAGGATGCTTTGCGGAATTTGCCGCGCAGCTTGGACGCGTCGCTTGCGGCTATGTGGGAGTTGTGGCTTGGCATGCAGCCGAGTAGCAGTTTTCCCATTTGCTGGCCAATTGGTGTTGAGAAGCGCCGTTTGCGTGTAGTTAGCCTCAGCCAAGGCTGGCAGATGCAGGCCAGCTCTCTCTCTCACACCCGCACACACGCACATGCACGCACAGTGCCTAGGCAGGAATGCAGGCTTGTCTCCTTTGTGTAGAAAATCGCAGTCATAGTGATGATCGTGCCCTTCCTGCAGGGCCTGTGCTGTGGGCTGCTGTTGGTGAGGAGGAGATACTTGACGGCATAAGCTGTGGATCTTGAGACACTCTTCGGGTGCCACAGCCATTCAATTTACCAGAATTACCTTGTGCTCAAAACGCGGGACTCGTCCAATTCGCTGGTTTCGTTTCGGTTGCCTCTTAAAGCCATTCAGCGCAGGGTGCCTAGTTTTATCTACAGCCAGCGAGCCAGCCAGATCACGTATTCATTCAACTAACAACACATTTTTGCGAGACTTTCTGGCACTTTGGTGTGACAAGTCTGTTCGTTTGCCCGCAGAGGCTTCTTGCCAAGCTGCCAGTGCGGCCCGTTGCTGCCCACGCCTGGGGCAAGGAGGCTGGGACATGCGGGGACAAGTCAACCATGATACCTTCTGTCTAGGGCCCCTGCCCGTTTTCTAGAATTTCACCATGGAGCTTTGAGCCTGCCATTGCCTCCCTGCCCGGGGCAGGAAGCATGGCTTTGCTGCGCACCTTGCCTTGGGCACCTTCTGCGCAGCTGCCTAGGCGGGAAGCAGAAGAAAGCAAGGTGTTGAGAGCCAGATCCGGGTGGCGTGTGAGGTGAGAGCGATGCCTTTCCGCCGCCGGACGTTCAGCAGCTTTTGGTGGAAGCCACTTGCATGTATTGAGCAACGTGCGATTGGCTGCGATGCTCCGTTTGCTTTCCAAGGACTTCAACGACACCAGCCACTCTTGGGCCTCTGGCCGCTGCTTGCCCCAGCTCCTCTCTGAGCGTCTTCAGAAGCTGCCCGCGGGCCACCCGGCATTGGTTTCCTACGACGAGCACGGGGAGGAATGCAGCCGCATGACCTACCAGGCGCGCGGCGAGGGTTCTGTTGGGACCTATCCACCAATCTATCCTTCAGATCCTTCGGCTGAATGCAGGAGCTCTCGGCTCACCTGGATTGTGCCGTGTCGGCGCTTTATGCGCTGCGGCCCGGAGCAGTGGCGCTTTGGATGCCGCGTTGCAGCCAGGTGCTACGTGGTGTTTGGTGCGCTGGGCACTGGGTGCTCTTGAGTTGCGTAGGAAACGATGCCTTTGCAGCAAAGCCGCAGCTTCACCGGAAGAGAATGATGGCGGGTCTCACGTTGACCTTCCTGAATGCAATTGCAAGTAGCTGCCTCCCAAATAGATCCGGGGCTCTTGTGGTGGATGCATGGCAAGCCAATCCCTACTCCAAGTTGCAAGTATGAATGAATCAAGTCTTTCTTCTCAACCTTTTTTCTCCATGTTGATAGGAAACCATCATGTCCGAATCATTTCCACAATTCGCCGGTCGTTTCAACCGCAGATAATTGAATCTGGGTTCCAATTCCGCGGAAATCGAACATCGGGGGGAGTGCCAGGCGGTGCGGTGCGCCTTGGCCATCCTGCGCGCCGGAGCCGTCTACGTGCCCTGCGATGGGCGTCTGCCCTGGGAGCGCGTGGCCTTCATGGCCCAAGCCGCATCCGCACAGCTCCTGGTCGCAGGTTGGGCCTGGGGGACACAAGCATTGGGCATTGGAAAATGCGGAATATGCCATGAGAACTGCCAATGCAACATTTCTTGCACGATGTGAGTGGATCCGACAATTTATTGAAGAGATGGAGCTTCCCAACCCAGGCGAAATTCTTGCATTTCAGCGGTGAAATGGGAGCAAAGTGTCACTTGCGGTGGCCAGGAGCGGAACAGCTCGAGTCGATGCCCTTGCAGTCGACTCTGCAAGTCATCGCTGCAGATGAACTTGAGCAGACGCAAGCTTGGGCCCAAGCCATACCTGGAAGCTGTTGGGAATATGCTTCACTGTGTGTGCGTGCGCGCGTTTGTCACGTATTTGTGAAGGCTGGCTCGGAAACTTGGAGCAGCGAGCTGGCCGTATCAGAGGGGGACTTGGCCTATGTGATCTTCACCTCCGGCTCAACAGGAGAGCGGGTTGCATGTTGCAGTGACTGCTTTGCAGATCCACGCAGGAAAGCCGAAGGGTGTTGCCGTGACTCACCGCTCCATCGTCCACCTTATTGAGTGGGTGAAGCTTGGCATTAGCGGTGCGTTAAGTACCACTTTTAAGGGGTTGGGAGCTGGACATGTCACAATGTGGAAGCTCGTGGCATGCATGTTTGAATCCAGATCCCGACTCAGGAATTCCACATACAACATCGACCACAATGACTCACTGCTTTTCACAACCTCCATCAGCTTCGACCTGTCCTGCTACGACATGTTCGGCTCGCTGGCAGCAGGGAGTACAGTTCACGTGGCCCCGGAGCTGAGCCCAAAGAAGCTGTTCCAGGTGTTGCAAAAAGGTCACATCACCTTCTGGGACTCTGCTCCACAAGTGCTGCAGCAGCTGGAGCCATTCATTGGCGCTTTGGACTCTTTGCGTCTGGTCTTCCTGAGTGGTGACTGGGTCCCTCTGCAGCTCACGCAGATGCTGCGCCGGGCCATGGGTGACGGCCGGGTGGTGGCGTTGGGTGGCGCCACAGAGGTCACGGTCTGGTCCAACTTCTTCGAGGTGGGAGACTTGGATCCAGAGTGGCGCTCCATCCCCTACGGAAGGCCGATTTGGAACCATCAGTACTACTGCCTGGACGCACAAAGCGCCCCGCTTCATGTGGGAATGACTGGAGAGCTGTACATTGGTGGCGTGGGGGTGGCGCGGGGCTACGTGGGCCGTGCGGATCTTAGCGAGCGGTTCTTGGAGAACCCCTTCCACCCTGGGAGGGTGTACCGCACGGGAGACATGGTACGGTTCATGCCGCTGCGGCCCTGGGGTGTTTACCACAACTCCTGCGAGGCGGGGCTTTGTTTTTATGCCGATGATTTTTTTGTTTTTCTCTAGTCTGATCCGCTAGCATGCAAAATCAGATGAACGCTGTGTGCTGGGAATGCGTGGAGCACCACCCTTTAGGTGGTGCTGGAGTTCTTGGGGCGCAAGGACTCCCAGGCGACTGGACAACTTGTTTCCAGATTTCCTATTTGGCGTCCTTGTGTCAGGAATCTCAGAGCCACACTTCTATGCAGCCGCACAGTTGCGAGATGTTGCGAGTGCTTGCAAAGCAGTTGATATTCAATGCTGTCTTTCAGCCACGTTTGCTGGCGTGTTTCTTGTTTCGGCGAGGACGCGCCACGAATTCCACAAGTGTTCAATTCACAGCGCACAGATCCTTCAGCAAGCTTCGCCCTGGCCAGGTGAAGGTCCGAGGCTTCCGCGTGGAGCTGGCGGAGGTGGAGTTGAGCTTTGCGGCTCAGGGCCTGGACTGCGCAGTGCTGGCGCTGCCGTCTGCCTGCCCCGCGGTGTTGGTGGCCTTTGCCCCTCGGTTCTGGTTCTTCGGTAGCTGGATGTGCTGCTTAGAGTCTCAGAACAGAAAAGGCGTCAGTCATGGATTGGGGCACGTCGTCACGTTGCCTCCAATGCATGGTTGACCGGAATGCACGGCATAGGCTTTCAATGATTTTGCAGAGTCCATCGTTGTCACCGTCCAGGCATCCCAGTTTGAAAGCCAAGGTGAGGGCAGAAGAGCAGCGGGCAACAGAAACGCGGGACAGGTTGACGCAACAGCTGCCACACTACATGGTTCCTGAGGCCCTCGCCGTGAAGGGTTGGGCAGACTGCACAGTCGGTGTGAGCTGGGGAGTTGCATGCTGTTCCCCACCACATTCACATGTTGGCCAGGAACTTGCCACATCTTCTGGAGCGATTCGCAGGTGTGCATGTAATTTACTAATGTGTACCTCACAGTCTAAATTCAAATAATTCAAGTACATAGCATAGACAACACGGAGAGCGCAGGTGTGCAGTGTGGAGGCGCTGCCGCTGACCCGCAGCGGCAAGGTGGACCGCCAGGCGCTGGAGGCTTGGTGGGCGCAGAGGCGGACAGCCTTCCGGGCACCCATCACGAAGCAGCAGCAGAGGGTGGTGGAGGCGCACCATCTCCGTCTAGAAATCTGTTCAGAGATACTCAAATGATTTCTTTCTTACGTTTCTTCAAATGCCACATTTGATGTGATTGATGGTGGATGGCAAGGTGTCTGGCTTGTTTTTTGTCCCGAGGCCTTTCGAGAAGCGTTGGGGCAAGAGGTGGGGCTGGACGATGATTTCTTTGAGCTTGGCGGCCACTCGCTGTCGGCCATGCGGCTGCAAATGGCTTTGGGGGACCTAAGCCTGCAGGAGGTCTTCCACGCGAGGACGCCCGCGGCGCTGGCAGAGCTACTGGAGCTTCGCAGCGGCGGTGTAAAGGCCTCGGGCCGCAGAATGGGATCAATCACGTCTGACTCATAAGACTTTCACGACTTTTATGACTTGCCCTTCAAGCCTTCCGTCCTTTGCGTGACACAAAATCCGGGCGATGCCTGCAGGCAGCCCCGCCGCTGCAGAAGATGGAGCGGGGTGATCTCGTGCCAGCCTCCTACGCGCAGGAGCGTTTGTGGCTTGCGCATTGCCTGCAGCCAGGCCGGAACCCAGACGTCCTTTTGGGATGCATAATGAGATGCATTCAGATGTGACATCCTGGCGTACCCAGAATCAAATGCCTGCACAGCTGAAACTGAAAATCATATCGTTGCACCCAAGTTGGTTCGAGCAAAATCAAGACGCTTAACTCCCTACCCGATTGCTTCTCTTCAGGTTTGACACAAGAACCCCCCCCTCCCAGCTCAGCTCGGAGGGCCCCGCTACAACGTGGCCTTTGCCTTCCGCGGCCGCGCGTCCTTGGTGGCGCTGCTGGGGGCCCTGCAGCGGTTGCTCGAGCGCCACGAGGCGCTGCGCACCGTGCTGCAAGGCGGGCGTTGGCCCCAAATCTCTCGAGACATTTGTTCCAAGTTTAAGGATCCAGGGTTTCGGAATTTCCCAAACGGATTTGTGGGAGTATACTCTTGGCTTGAGTGTTGTCAAGAGACCATCCATGCCAGGTGATTTCTGATGATTGCCCTCAGGTGGCGGAGAAGAGTCAGGGCATGGGCAGCTCTTCCAGAGGATCCTGGAAGCTGAAGAAGTCAAGATTCCCGTCTCTGCCCCAGCTTGCGCAATGAGAGTGCGCTTCGGCAGCATTCTGAATATGATTTTGAGAGGCATTGTTTCGGACACTGATGTTGCTTTTTAAGCCAGTTCAGTACTTGTCCGGGTCATAACGCTATCCGGCAGCCAGCAGAGAAAAGAGCACAGCCGTGCTGAGGTGCAGCTGTGTTTGGCTGCAGGCGCTTGGGGTTGAGGATGCAGCGGTCGCAGCCATGCGTGCCGATGCAGCTGAAGGCAGCTATGAGGGGAATGGCTGGGAGGAATCCTAGGTTTTGGCAGTTGTTCTGATACGAGACGCATTTCTTGATCGGCTAGAGCAATTATTTTCAATTCAAGCAATTACTTGTTTGATGAGAAACTTGGGTCCAAACTTAGCCACACTTACAGCCTTTCACATTAGGCTCAAGCATGAGTCAATGAGCATGGCGGTGGTGGGCCCCCGCACCGAGACCCGCAGCAAGACTTTTCCCTGCCAATGCTTGGTGCTCGGAAATGGCTGAATAGCGCGACGCCCAGTTCGGGCGGTAGTGAATATGCCTCAGCAGAATCGCAGCTTGCTCACAGGCTTCGACCTGACCTCCGGCCTGCTGAGGGTCAGACTTTTCCACTCAAGCAGCGACTTTCTCCTGTTGCCTGGCGTGCGAGACAACACAATCAATTGGGGAAACGTGACTAGACATCTGCATTTCAGGAATACAAAGCTTGCATTTCAGTGGAGTTACAGCTTGCTGTCCAAAGTTGCATCTTGATGTGCAGAGTTGTGCCACACACACACACATACACCCGACTGTTGTATTGCATTCGGCCTAGCATTCGAATGCAGGAATTTCGTCAGACTGTATGATCTCAGGTATTTCAATGTGCACCACGCAGCTTTCGATGCAGCCTCGCAGGCACGCATGGGTGCGCAGATCCCAAAGAAGGAGTGAGTAGCCGCCGAAAGCGGCGGTGATCGTTGACTTGGGTTGCAGGCCTTGCTGAAGAAGGAGCTGGCAATGGATCTCAACGGCGATCACCTGCAGACTCCTTCTGTGTGTCTTGGCCTAGGAGCTTGGTTTCCGCGTGGGCGTGGGCTGGAATCTCCAACCGTATGAAGCCAGATGTCGACACACTGTCTACGGATTGAGTTGCTCCCTTGAGCAATCCTAGGCAGTATGCTGACTATGCGCTGTGGCAGCAGCAGTGGCTGGCAGAAGGGGAGAAGCAGCGTTGCCTAGACTACTGGAAGGAAGAGCTGAGGGGTGCCCAGGCTGCATATCCCGCAACCAGCACCTATGACTCATATGGGTTTGTCTTTTTTTGGTGTGTTGAGTTGCTTCAAAAGGCAGAAGGTGGGACCTCCCCGAATCATACCCCCGAATCATACCCCGAATCATACCTCCGAATCATACCCCTTAAAACGTATGCTGCAAGATGCTACTGTTCTTCTACCGTTTTGTGTTGTTCACTGTCTCCACAACAACCACCACCAGCGCTACCCAATACTACCACTGCCACTGCCACTGCTACTACTACTACTACTACTACGACTACTACCTTTATTACTGCTACAACTACTACTACGACTACAACCTTGACTACTACTACTACTACTACTACTACTACTACTACTACTACTACGACTACTACCTTTATTACTGCTACAACTACTACTACGACTACAACCTTGACTGCTACTACTTTTACTACTACTACTACTACTACTACTACTACTACTGCTGCTACTACTACTACTACTACTATTCCTGCTTCTGCTGCTGCTGCTGCTACTACTCACTACTACCACATACATCATTCTGAGTGTATAAAATCATACCCGAATCATACCCGGACAATGAGCTTCCCCTGCCAAGGCTAGTGCTAAGCCTTTTTCACAGCGTCCGCACCACTACAGCCGCTGCTGCTTATGCTACAGCTGCTACCACTACTTCTGCAACTTCTACTACGACTACCACTACTACTGCTACTACTACTACTACCACAGCTTCTACGAGTTTGTAATCAGTGCCGTTTTGCACCTAGCCGAATCATACCCGCGAATCATACCCGAATCATACCCGCGCAATGAACTGGCCTTGCCAAGGCCAGCGCCAAGTCTTTTCAATGCTTCCGCGCCACTACAGTCGGTGCTTCTACTGTTACTACTACTACTACTACTACTACTACTACTACTACTACTACTACTACTACTACTACTACTACTACTACTACTGATGTTACTACTACAATATTACTACTAGTACTACTACTTCTGCGAACTGCTACTACTACTACTACTGCTGCTGCTGCTGCTTCCGCGATCATACCCCCGAATCATACCCCGAATCATACCCGCGAATCATACCTGCGAATCATACCCCGTACTCAAACCTTCCTGCCCGGCCACCCTAAAAAAATACAATCCCATATGACTGTTTGACTGGGGGCGGGCTTGAGGCGCAAGCTTCAAACTGCATTTGCCCACAGACGTTCCACGACCTCGGGACCTGACACACGGTTTTGCCGCCTGGCAGAAACCCGAGTTTGCATCCAGCAGCTGTCAAAGGGGACCCCTTCTTCAAGGGTCAAGGAGAACTTTGAACTAGTGGTGTTGACCTTTGAGTCGCCTCAAACTGGTGCGAGCCACTCTGTAGTGCCGTAGGTCACCTCACGGTGGCCTCTTAGTGCACTGGCCGGCGTGCGGAGCGCCGCCAAGCAACTGCCAGCCTCGGAAATGGCAGCAATGACGCCCGGCACGCCCGATGGAAATCTCTGATGGCTGTTGAGGCTTCGAACTGCTTTTATATACAGTACTGGAATCAGAAGAGGACCTATGTTAATCAGTTATCATGACGCACCACCCGAACTAGTCTCCTTTGTTTGAGGCGACTTGATCACTCCTGGATGAGGTATGACAATAACACACATTGATGTGGAACGCGGTGTCCTGCCATGCATGAACGCCTGCCTTCATACATGCATATTTGAGCGTCTTCAGCAGAGTTTCGGACATTTGGACCCTTGAAAGCAAAACCATATTAATCACCGCTGCCACCTTTTATCTTGTCTTCCCTACCGTTTTTGGTCGCTTGTCTCATCCCGTCACTCTCCTCTCGAGTCATGATATTCATGATTTCCTCCTCAGGGCCAAGTCTTCCGGTCCAGTTGACATGGTCTGTGGAGCTGAGGCTCTCACTCTTTGGCCTGCTACTGGGGCGCCGCTTCGGGCAGGAGTACATTCTGTCCCAGCTGCAAGAGGTTCCTTCCGTGACTCAACACCCGTGACTTAACACCTGGCCAAAGATGCCAAAGGTGAAGTTGGAGTTGGGAGAGGGCCCAATACAGCATGTCGTCAGCCGGTGTCCAGGAGGACCTGCTTGTGGGCATCCCAGAATCTGGCCGCGGATCAGACCCAGCGCTGCAGAACGTGGTTGGTTTTTTTGTGCCGCCTGGCGTGAGCTTTGGCTTTTTGAGGCTAAGTTCAGATGGCAGCGCGTAGCGCACGGCAAAACTGAGGAATACCTTGCCGATTCGCATCCGTTTACTCGAGGTGGCTTAGCTGGCAAGATGCAGACAGGCCAGGCTATCCACAAGATGTACAAGCATTGGCCACGCAAAATGGCTGCCAAAACTAAGTTAAAGCTAAAGCCAAGGCTAAGGCAACACCAAGAACCCAGCCGAGAAACAAACAAACAAGCAAGCAAGCAAGCAAGCAAGCAAACAAGCAAGCAAGCTGGCAAACGGAGACAGAGTGTTCTGACTCACAGTGCGCAAGCTCAAATGCGAAGCCTGATCTAAGGCCAAGGAGACTTTCATGGACTTGCTTGGCAGGACGATGGGGTATGCACTGCAAGCACTGCGGATCGACAAACTCTCAATGGTTCCTTGGTTCCTAGACTTGCTTGTGAACCTTGCCACGGTTGCTGCCTTGGACAGCAGTGGAGCCACGATCACTGAAAGCTGGACGAAGCTGCCCAAATCGCATTTCCTATTCTTTGGTAGATTCGTGCAGGCAATTTGGCCCATGCTTGCATCTTACTGGTTGTGTTTGAGCAGTTTTCAGCGCAGCTGATGGCTTCTTGCCCGCATGCCTGCCCAGGCAAACGGGCAATTGTATCATGTCGTAGGACTCAGAAGACCTTGCTGGATGCGATGGACCACGCTACCATTCCCTTCCAGCACTTAGTGGAAGAAGCGCGGCGTGCAAAGGAACCTTCTTGTGTGTGAACGTTGGGGTGAGTCCATGGCCAAAACTGGCACGCATGGGATCTCATGTAATGGGGTTGGGCTTGAATTCTAGCTGCACCTCAGCTGTGCAGGAGCTGGATCCCGGTCACAGCCCGCTGGTGCAAGCATTTTTCCAGCACATTGCCACTGGACAGTTCTCCCATCAGAGTCCGATGCTGGAGGACTTCAACTTTGAGGCGCTTCCTACACCGGCAAAATTTGAGGTGAGCCTCCAGACCAGTGTGGAAAGCAGCCTTTCTTTGCGCTGGGAGTTCATGCCTGAGGTGCTTCCGTTGGAGACAATAAGACTGTTGGATCGCCACCTTTTGGTCATGGCAAAACGGTTGGCAGCGGACTGCAACAGTGCGCTATGTCACCTGCGCGAACGTCCCTCAGACGAGCATGCAGCTGTGTTGCACGACTGGAGCACCAGTCATGCACTTCCACTGCCGGACTGTCGCCTAGAAGACCTCTTCATCCAGCAAGCCATGCGCACCCCAAAGCAGACCGCCTTGGTGCTGCGCAAGAACCGCCTGTCCTTCGCAGATCTGCTGGCTGCGGCCCAGGCTCTGGGAGCACGTTTGGGTTTGGCAAAGTCGCGGGTGGGGGTTTTGGCCGAACGCAGCCTGGAGCTGCCAGTGGCGCTGCTGGCTGTGCTGATGGCAGGCGCAGCCTTCGTGCCTCTGACGCCGGACCTTCCGCGGGAGCGGCTGCGCTTCTCGCTGTCGGAGGCAAAGGCCGGCGCGCTGCTCGCCACGCCGCAGGTCGCTGCCACTGCCGCCGCCTTGGCGGAGGAACTCGCCATCCCCTGGAGCATTGTGAGCCTCGACAACCTCAAGAACCTTGAGAGTGTCGAGACACCGGCGAGGCCAGCAGAGCGTATTGCTTACGTTCTATTTACATCTGGCTCTACTGGTCGGCCCAAGGGTGTGGCAGTTTCTCACCGTGCCCTGCTGTCCCACCTGCTACCATACGTGCGAATCTTGAAACTTACTCCCGCTGATCGCATTCTGCAAACCAGCCCCTTCACTTTCGATATGGCTTACTCCCAGATCTTTGGGGCTTTGCTCAGCGGAGCCCAGCTCGTTCTGACACGGGAAAATCCAATGGTTGACCCCATGGAGCTTGCACAAGTCCTAGAACAGGAATCTGTGACCTTCACAACCTTGGTGCCTTCAGTGCTGTCTGCCATGGTGCATGCCAAGCCTGAGATTTGCTTGCCAGCACTGAGACATTTGGGTTGCGGGGGCGAACCCCTCCGCAGCAGGTTTCGGCAAGTTCGCCTGCACAACCGCTACGGCCCGACAGAGTGCGCCATCAACTCCACTCTCTTTGGCCCTTTCGGCCCCGACGAGATCAATGGGGAGAGGGATGTGCCCATCGGCTGGCCGTCGGCTCACCGTCATGTGGCAGTGGAGGCCGGGGAGCTTCTGCTGGCGGGTCCAGGGCTGGCGGGCTACGTGGCACGAGAGGCCTCGGCCTTCCGCTCCAGCCTTCGCGGCGCGGGCCAGCAGTATCACACCGGGGATCAGGTGAGTCGAGGCACGCGCGGGTGTCTAGGCTTCTTGGGCCGAAGGGACTTCCAGGTGAAGCTGCAGGGCCAGCGCATTGAGCTGGCCGAAATCGAGCAAGTCATTTCTACCCTGCCGCAGGTGCGCTCCTGCGCAGTTGTTGTGAACCATGTGCCCATGCTGGTGGCGTTTATTTCAGGTGAGGCGCCGCAAGAGGTTCTCGCGCAGTGCTGCAAGCATTTGCCACCTGCAATGGTTCCTCGCGTGCAAGTTCTAGATGACCAGAGTTGGCCCAGGACAGCTTGGCAAAATTTGTGAGCGTTTGCAACTAACCTGCCACGTTTCGATATGTTTGGTGGAAGATGCGCATTTGCAATCAGGGTACCCTTGCTCGCACTTCTTGCTGTTGCTGGTCAAGCCTTAAGTGCAGGCGAACACTCTGCTTTCAATGTGTGTTTAGAGCGCCGCCAATTCACAGCTACAACCGAGGGGAATATTTTCAGATTTGGGTACATGCAGTATTCTTATCTTTGATCTTTATTTTGGGAGAGAGGGATTTACATTCCTGTTCTGTTGGACTGGTTTGATGGGACAGGTTCTGCCCAAATGGCATATTCTAGAAGCCGCTGCAAGGTCTAAGAGAAATCAACGCGACTTGCACAGGACCAGCTCTAACAAGCTCGACCGGCGCGCGTTGGCAGACATGGCCAGCAAGCTTGTTCAAGATCCACAGCGTGTGTTGGGGACAAGCGCGGTGGAAGAGGCGGTGAACACATTGCTGGAGGCACGGTTCGGGCAAGCTTACATGAATCAAAGACAGTGAGATACTCACTTCTGTGTTGTAATTCTCGATTATCTAATATTTCTCTTCTCGCTTTTTCCTTTTTCCTTTGTGCTTTCCGCTTTTTGCTTTTTGGTTCAGGTCTTGGCGGACTTGGGGCACGTGGTGTCCGCCGCGTGCAGCCTGGGCCTCACCTCGCTGCTGGCGCTGCGCGTCGTGGCGCAGGCGCGGCGCCGGGGCCTGGAGCTCTCCGTGCGGCGGCTGCTGGCGCCGGGCGCCACGGCCTTGGCGGTCGCCACCGAGGCGACGGCAGGCGCGCGGTGCCGAAAGGAAAGAGACGACGTGACGTGCTTGTTGGTTTTCTTCAAGCAACTCAACTTCTCAAGAGTAGAATTCAACCGTTTTCAAGACTGACTCTGCCCGGCGAAAGGAAACTGAGGGCCGCGAAAGGAAGGCCAAAGGCCGGCGAAAGAGAGGTTGTTAGGAACTTCTTTGTCTTAAGCAAACCCACGAGTATGCAAGATATACACCAGATTCACTTATGCGCAAGGTGTTCTGTTTCGCCGTGAGACCATTTGTATTTTTTTGTTTTTGCCAGGCCGTCCGGAGGACGAGGCCGTGGATCTGCTGTTGGGCGCTGTGCGCCTGCAGGTTCGGCACATGACAGAGCCCAGCGGAGACTGGGAGGTGCTGGTTTGCCCGGGAGACGGTGGGGCAGGGGTGGAAGGCTACCGACCATTGGCGGTGGCACTGCAATCAGAAGCTTGGATTGGAAAGGGCGTTGCCTTGCCTTGTTGCTTAGTTACTTTATCGGCCACTCCGCACCACCTACTTCCAAACACGAAGCCTTTGACAGCTCATGCCTGCCCGAGGCTTGCCGCGTTTGGGTGGTGGATGGCCTGTTGAGCACCTGCCGCAGCTTGGAGGAAATGGCAGAGGAGGTGCTCAGGTGTTGGTGCCTTGGCAGAGACCTTTGCACCCTCAACGCAACTGGGAGAAGGGATTGGCAGCAAATGCAACAACTACTCTCATGTCTGGTGCAAGACGAGAACAGATGTGCCAAGGAGGCGTGGCTAACTCTTGCAAGGACAAGTTCAATGGGAACCCCCCAATAGAGCGTACTTCTTTGGACTCCCAGCGTTTAACTGGATAATTCAATGTTCTTTCGGCGTCTCAATTCGCACGGTGACATGTCAAGCAGGAAGATATCGCGAGGAAAGGGGTTTGGTTGCTGCTCAAATCACTTGTGAGCAACTGTCTTTGGGCCAAGACCTTTTTTTCGCAGACATGCACCCCACTGAGGCGATGTTCAGGGAAGCGACGAGTTCTGCTGGGCCATTCCTGGGGCGTGCTGTTGGCGCTTCAATTAGCGCAGCTGACGGATGTCGAGGCGACGTGAAGAGAGCAGTGTCGGGTTGCCTTGCTCAGTTATCTTTCTCCTGCCTGACTACTTTGGTTGAAGGCTTTGGCATGTCCCCTTGCCTTGAGCAGACATCACTACCATTTCCGGCGCGGCATGAAACGCAAAGGGCTTTCCGAGTCCGAGCTCACCAAAGCACATGGCTGAGGTTCTTTCCAGTGGGACTGCGAGTTAGATGCACATGTGAGGCCGTGTGGCTGCTGGATCCCTCCAAGCACCACTTTGCCCCCGCTGAGCCAGTCATGGACCACGAGGCGGCAGAAGTTATCAGTATTATTCGTATTGTTATTCGTACTATTTGTTTTTAATGTTCTTTCTCATTTGCACAGTTCCTGGCCCAAATTGGCCCATTTTCAGGGGGATACCATCGCATTTTCGGAAAACGAAGCCGACTGGCCGATCGGGTCAGGCCGAGCTGCTGGAGCTGCTGGCACGGCTCTGCCAAGCAGGTGCTGCCCAGGCACCCGGCTTGCGACTTGTTGGGGCTGAACCGAAGCGAAAGGAATGGACAAGGAAAAGGGGATCACCATGGAACACCAGCCAGCTGTTTGGTCAGGTTTGTGGTGCTTTGGTGTTCGGCTTGAGAGATTACTGTAGTGGTCTTCAGAGGCAATAAATGAGCTCCGGTGGCGATCAATGCCGGTTGCTGTGTGAGTCAGATGTCAGGGCCTGCTGATGGCTGCCAGATCTGGCCGGATGACAGAGATGGAGAAGGTGGGGCTGGAGCTGTAGGATCAGAGCAGTCTTTCCTCGTTTCAAGCTGGGATCTTTCTGGCTACGTACTGGATGGAGTCGCCATTTCAAAGCCGGTTCTTTGATTTGATCAAACAGATGGGTTTTGTTTGGCTGCTGCGCGCCGACAACCAGAGCCTTGCATCAGAGCTATTATCTCGCCAAGGTGCTGAGCCAGAATCAGTTCCAGCGTCTGCGCCAGGCAGCAGCGGCAAGGCCAGAGCAGGACCCCTTTTTGACTATTTTAAGCTTGCAACGTGTCAGAAAATATCGGTGCTTACTGTCTGAGCACAGTCTCTCGTGGCCTCGAGGGCACAGGACAATTCAGAGGCAATGGGGGAGAGGTCAATTGCGCTGCAAGGTCGCATAACCTCAGCTTGCGGGCAAGCTACAAACCTCTTCACGTGCCTGTGCACGTCATCCTGGCATCAGAGATGGAGGCGACGCCGCAGCAAAGGTTGCTGGACGCTTGGCTGGAAACATCGATGGACACCTCATTGGACACCATTGGCAATGTGATCATGTGGCATCTTCCGGGCTTCAGGACCTCGACTGCATTCGCTCGATATCGAGGGATGTCGCAGTGAGCTGGACGGCTGGCACCCATTACTCGATGTTAGAGAGTCTTAGCTGTCTTAGCTTCATATTCACAGCATTTCACAGCATTTGGAGGATGTAGGATTGGGAATGGTGCAAGCATTGTTTTAGCAAAGCCTTTGAGCCGTAAGGCCTTCGAACTGCACTGCCTTGGCAGCCGCACTTCTGGGGACACTATCAAGTCCGGCATAGCGCAGCTGCTGCGCGACCCAAAACAGCCTCCGCGGACTACTTGGACGAAGGGCGAAGCTTACGTTCCTCACAGCTGGTCGCCCACGTGATGGATGCCCGCCCGACTGCCCGACCAGACGGCCAAAGATGGCCAAATCCTTGACGAGGTCCGATGCCAAATCCGACAGTTTGACAAATGTTTTGATCGGTTTACTTGCCACTTGCCCTTCAAGGCAATTTGGCCGCAGAGGCATGTTGTGCTGTCAAAAGTCTCGGTGGGCTGGCACGCAGCTCTGAGACAGGATCAACTGCAGTATCCTGCAATCTCTTTTGCTTTTGCAACCGCTGATTCTTGCAATCATGGCTGAGTTGCTCCGAAACTGGCTCCAGCACAAATCGGCACTCGACTGACAGCCCTGGTTTGTTGCAACATCGCTGCCTTCTTCACATCTTTGCATCCATTTGTATAGTGCAACTGACACTCCCGAGCCTTTGGCCGCCCTCAAGATGGCAGGTGTGGGCCTCAGATCATGGCAACGAGCATCGCCAGGCTCAGCCACTGAGGTCTTTCTTTGGTCCCGGCCGAGCCAGTAACAGCAGTAGCAGCACCCGTGGCAGCACCACCAGCACTGCCGGCAGCAGCAGCAGCACAGGAGCAGGAGAGCCGAAGTTGTCTACCTTGCTTGGTTTTCAAAGGTACTTGGGTTTGCAAGCAGCATTAAACGTGAGTGTTTATCTACCTTCAGCAACCAGGCTGCAATGCCATCCCCAAAACTAGGCTGCGCAGGTCTCAGTCATGACTTGGTGCAGGAAGGAGGAGCATCCAGCGGTTTTGCTTTCGTCCGCGAGACCTTGTCATGCTCTAAGGATAGAAGATATCAGTATCTTGCACCTTTCATTTTGCTAGGCATGAGATCACTGTGCTCCAGGGTTGCCGGCGCCTTAGATGTTTCTTTGTTCCTGAGCATGGCCCAGAGTCAAGGCCTCACAGGCTTCAAGGAAGAGCTAGCGCAAATGCGCGCTGACTTGGAGCGCGAGTCAGCAGCACGCAAGGCCGCGGAGGGAATCCCATTGGCATGTGTCATGTCTAAGATGCTTCATGGGTTATCTGGTGCTGGCAAAGGCTGCAATGCTCCTCACTTCGTGAGATTCATGTCTGGAGATGTCCTTGTGGTTCCTAATTTTAGTGGCTAAAACATTCCTGCCGGAGGAAGAAACGGAGAGCATCCGCCGACAGCTGACCCGCAGCATGGCGGACGAGACGCAGATGCGGGTGCGCAACCTGCAGTGATGTTTGATGAATGACTGTGCAGCGTAAGTGAGCCAGCTGCTTGTGCAATTGTATAAAATATCTAAACAAGTTGATCTGTTTGGCATACATATATCACAGGCGTCAATGCTATACTGGCAATTAAAGCATTCTTCGATGGATGTGAGTTGCCTTGTTCTGCATGAAGCCGAGAGCAGCATGGATGCTACTGAGAAATCACTGCAGATCAGCCATATTCTTCGGCATGTTGCTTTTTGCTTAGATGGGCGTCGAAAGCAAACTGGAAGCCTTCCAGAACCTCGCTAAGACGCAGCCCGCCTGCATGGATTGATGTGATGCTTTGTGAGCCGAGTTTGAGCCCTTTCCTTGAACCATTCCATGCCCTTGATCTCATTGGAGCTAGAGCTGATTTTCAGATTTGGGATTACTTGAGCTGCAGAATCTCAGGTGGATCAGCTCCTTGGGCAAGGATGTCATGGCCTCAAAGGCTCGGATGGATTGAGCGTACGTCACCGCGTCACCTGGGCCTTCCAGCGCTTGCCAGGAGCGGCTCAACACCTTGGACTCCACTTCCGAGCAGCATGCCTCTTCCTTGTTGGCACATGAGGCGGGGCGCAAGCGTGGAGCAACTCCGAAAATTGCGTTGACAGGTTCCGTACGTACTGTAGCCGTCAAAGGGCATCCCATCCCATTCTGCCCCGTTCTGCCTTTCACAAGTGCATTCTGCTGATTTTTTTTCCAGATTCAAGGGCTGCTCGCCCTCCAGGAGCGCCTGGTGAGCTTGGATTCCGCTGTGGCCCTTCGCTGCCAAAGGCTGAGACAGGTCAATTTGTAGTGTATCTGTAACTCACACATCAAAGACGTATGCCTACGTATGTGTCGGCATTCAGTTTTGCTGGTTGAAGGCGCACGTCTTTTGGCAAGCTCGTGCCGGGTTGCCTCCATTTCAAGCTTGTTGGGTTAGCAAGTCAGGCACCTGATCCCCAATGCGTTATGCCGAGTTGCCGCCCAAGGCACCGTCACGGACTACAGACAGCTGGCCACCACCCTGGCAGAGCTGCAGGCTGAAGTGGTGCCCGGTGGCCCTGTGAGAGACAGTGCGGCTACCTCAATGTCCCCAATGAAGATCATGCTAGAGCCCCCTGTTTCAGCAGGAATGCTGGCAGCTCCAATGTGACCGATTCTAATTGAGATACTGACTGTCTCCAGACGGATTTGCAGATCAGAACTATGAGGGGGTTGGAATCCGCAAAATAAATACAACTATGAGACCTCACAGCAGCCCGCTGAAAGGCGTGACCGCTCTACGGCACAAGCCTCTGTGGATGCCGTCCCTGCCTTGATATCATTATTCCGCAACTGTGGATATGCCATTGATGTGGGCCGCATGCGGCGGCACCCCATGTTTTGCCGAACAGGGCCGCTGTCGCTTGTTCCAGAGCCATTTGAAGAGACAGTGGCAGAGTCTCAGCGTGAACATTGCGCACCAAGCTCACTCTTCGCCAGGGTCAGAGAGACGACAAGCGCCAATTTGCGCAACACATGTGAGCGGATGCTTTTGCGTTGAATGCGCTGGAACCCCTCGCGAGAGCCTCAATGACCAACGGCCTCTTGCAAAGCGCACATCACTTTCTTGAGTGAAGGCTCCACATCTCCATGCTCCATGCAATTTGGGGGTTGGATCCGAGCCATCGGAGCCATCTACAAAACGGGTTGGATGCGCTTTTGATGGATTTCACCTGTTCTTCCCACTTTGAGCACTCTTCTAATATTGCAGGGGTGGATCCACAGAAGCCACATCCAAAGCGTTTTCTAGACACCAGAGCCACCCGAGCCATCCGAGCCCCCCGAGCCATCCGAGCCCCCCGAGCCATGACGACCTTGCACTGCCTGGGCGCCGGTGCCGGCACCACCTCCATCTACGAGGGCGAGCCGAGCAGCTCTTGGGCACTGCGACGCGGGAGGGGGGGGGGGCGGGTGACAGGGGGCGTTCACTGCTCCAAACGTGTTACGTACGAAAAGGAAGGCTTTCTTCGAAGAATGCAGCAGATCCTTTCTCAAAGATCGATTCGAGCGGAGCTGACAAAACCAGCGTGTTTTCTTGGAGCTTGCGAAAGGCTGCCAGCGCTCAGACTAGCAATCGGAGGTGTTATACGAAGGAATTGCATGTGAGATAGTTGCTTGCCAGAAGCACCGAACTGTGAATATTCGTGCGCAATCCACTTGAGGGATCCCCAAAATACTCCTCCTGAAGGACATGTATTCAGGTAGAGCCGGGCTAAAATCCTGTCAAACGGAGGGGACCCTTAGCAACGATGCCTGCAACAAGGTGAAGGCCCCTGTAAAACAATCGCGACTTTTTGAAACAAAGCCTTCAGAGATATTCCCATTGTTGCACCTTGGAGATAGCTCACTTCTGCAATCCTTTTCTGCCTTACTGCCATGCTTTTCGATCCAAATGTGGTGAGATGAGAACTTGCAGGAATGCCTTCTTTCTGGCTGACCTGGGTGCCGGTGTATGTCGGTCTGCCTTGAGGCAATTAGGCGCGGCACTTGCCTGGCTCAGCAGGTGTAACACTGTTGATGCAATTTCCATCAGAGCCGGAAGACAGGAGAGATACCATCGACGATTTTCATTAGCCACAACCACAGTGACCATGCCGCTGAGTTGCCGATTGTCCTGGCAGTTGAAGGCTGGGTTGCACAAGTAGCGGCAGCAACATGCGCAATGAGTTCTTCTTTGTGCTACGACTGCTCTTCGCGCCTTGTGCAAGCTCGGTTGGCAGGTCTTCAGAAGAAGCGCGGTATGCGGGTCATTGCTGCGCCTGAGGTGATGGAAAGGAGCGGCTGTGAAGCTGAAGCGCATTGAGATGCATTGAGCAAAGTGCCATTCTGCAATTTTCAGTGAGGCTTCAGAAGCACCGCATGCATGAGCTGCTTAGCACGGGCTGTGAGCTTGGAAGCTTCGCCTCTTGGCAGAGCGCTCCAGAAGGTGAAGCTGTGAACGTGGAGACGGAGGCACCGTGCCCACAGATTGAGAGACGTGCAATGACGTGGGTTTGGGCTTTCTGAATGTTTGCAGCAGCCTTGTGGCCTTGCGGAGGCAGGCCGGATGAAGATCACGACGCGGAGATCGCTGCACAGCGAGTGCTGCTTCGGAGCCTGCATCCAGATGGGCTCACCAGCTGCAAGGAAACGATAGCTAAGCCGAACACAAAAGGCGAAAGTGGTGATGTTCATGCCTTCTCTTTGTATCGGCAGCGAGCAGCACCTGTTTTGCTTTGCTCAGCTCGTACTTCTCCAGGCGATCTGCGCATTGGCTGGACGGCTGACAGCGGCTTCAGCCAGTCTTTGCTGGATGCCCTTAGCAGATCGCATCTGCTGATCGTGGACGCGCGCAAGGTAGCTCGGCGATCCAGGATGATAGGGGCTCTACTGCTGCGTTGATGCAGCATTTGTTTCAAATCAGACCCACAGATTGGTGTCGTGACAGTTGCTTTGCTGCAAGCACACGATGCAACGGCTACGTCCTGAGCAAAAGCTCTCGAACTTCCTCTTTTGCCAAGGTTGGAGGGCCCGAGCATGCCAGCTTTCAGGCAGGGAGTATGTGTTACTATTCCTGCACTTGCATTTCTCACACCGAGTCCACGGCATCTTCTGTAGGACATTGTCGAGTACGTGTCCTCCAGGGAAGACGTGGCATTTCTGGGAGCACTTTGACCTAGTACCAGTTGACTGCTACTGTAGAGTTTCTGCTTGATGCGGGCATGCTTGAGGTTATTGGTTTCCAAGGCTGTGTTTCCCTACATTGCAAGTTCTATCATGCTTGGAGGTTGTGTTTGTGTTTCGAGTCCACTGGCAATATTCTACTTGACTGACCGAGCTTGGAAATCTGAGGTCAACCCGCAGCAGGGGGTCTGCCAGGTCGCAGTTGGGATCTCAGCTGGTTGGCCCCACGGGCGTTGCGCAGCATGAAGCAAGCGCCAGGCGCTGCGGAGCGGTCTTGCATGTTTGAGAAGCCATGCTTTGTATGGACATGCATTGATTGAACTTGGGTCCCACTGTGAAATTGCTGCGACATTCAAAGCAAAATTTAGAGCCTCCGGCTTCTTTCCGCCGACTTCTGCTGCGGCCGCCGGAGAGTTTCGAAAGATTAGGCATTGTTGTTGTGCTAAAGCCCATCCACCTGGACTTGCAAGTCACACAAAACCCACCGAACACCCACAAGACCCACACAAAACCCACACAAAACCCACACAAAACCCACACAAAACCCACACAAAACCCAACAGCCAACACCCACACAACACCCACACAAGGCCCACCCATAACCCTCGCAAAACCCACCCCAAACCCATACAATCTAGCTGGGGTATTAGGGAGAAGCTTCTAACCACGCCTGAGAGTAGTTGTGGTCGGCTCCACGAGAGTCTGCAGAACTGTTATTTTTTTTTTGTGTGTGTGTGTGTGTGCGTTCGCCGAGCCCGCCCCCCGACAGCTCAGACACACTTCAGACCAAACAACATACGAGCATCTGTCTACGGTAGTGGAGGGGATAACATGGGGCACACTCACCTAACTACTATAAGAAAGTGAGGGGTTACTTACCAAAATCGAATGTCTGATATCCAAACGGTTCTATATTTTTCCCGCATGCTTGAGCATACTTTTGCATGTGAGGGTGTGCACAATTCTGCAGAGCTTCAGGTGCTGGGCTACGGCAGCCAGGCACAGGTGCCCCAAGACGAGCTGCCACCAAGTGCAGTGCTGAAGCCGGGGGATGTGAGCCATGGCCAGCAATGGACGGCCGTCGAGTGACAGAGTGAGTGAACCAAGAGAAGAACCGAGCCGAAGGATTTCTTTGAGAGCCAGAGGTCTTCAAATAGAGCGCTGGTACGTGCGTCGACTGGGCTTGAGCTTGCATCATGCTGATAATCTGTGTGTGTGTGTGAACTCGTGGAAGCATGAAAGCCCACATCCTTCTTGAATCATCACATGCGATCACTTAAATGCATAGGCTTGTACCCGCGGTGTATTGCTAGTGGATGGGGTTTGGGCAAAGGAACAAGTCACCAGGAGAAGCGTCAAAATGGTCTGGTAAGAAGGAATTCTTGTGGATATGGAATGTCTTGGGTATGACTTGGTATGACTGTGACTCCATATCTTAAGTGCAGCGCGCCGGCCAGACATAGCGGGACATAGCAGCTAGAAGGGTTCACGGGAGAAGTTACAGCGGATTGAGGAGCATCAGAATAGATGCGGCAGTCATGGCAGAGTCATTGGTATTGCAAAACTTTCCTTTGGCACTGAGGATTGCATTCTGTGAAGACACGTTGATGCCCTGCCGGGTGACACGCCGGCCAGACTTCTTTACGCGGTTGTGTACATGGTGTAGCTGATCCAAAACAGCATCGGCAAGAGCGTCGAAGTTGGATCGGTGAGCCAAAGCAGCTTTGATCCAGATGCGACAGGACGCACAAAAACCTGCACAGCTCCTGCATGGCAAGCATTGACATGCCCTGACCATTGCCTTCAGACTGCTGTTGCAGCTGTGGCTGGCGTAAATTGATGCTGCAATCTTGAGGCTTCTCGCGAAATGCTACGGAACCTGAGGACGACAGACGGACGTGCTACCCTTGGACAGACCCGTTGCTTCAACTCTCAGCCACTTTTGTGCGTTGCACCTTGGCTGTGCATATTGCAATGCTGCCTTGACCTGTGCCTCGTGTGTGCCATGGTCATAGACACCTGTACTTGGGTTGGTAATGACCCGTATGGTGGTCATCCACCTCTTGACATATTCTAGTTTTTTCTACAACCAACATGTCCCACCAAGTCGCAATTGGTGGCCTGCTCTGCATGGTGCTTGAAAACGTTTGGCACCGTGCGCCGACCGTTGCCACCTTTGGGTCACATTTGCGAGGTGTGGAGACACTGCAGCAGAGCCACGACAGCGCTTTGGCCGTTGGGTGCCCAGCTTGACTTGGTGTTTGGTGCTCAGACCGCCATGGTGTCTTGCGCAAGCAAGTTCACAAATTGCATGTTTGCCCAGTGGGGCCACATGCTGGGGTGGTTTGGGCTGAGGCTTTGCACACAGAGATCTCGGGTGTGTCTGACAAGGCGGATTTTGCAACCGTGGGAATCCTGCGAACACCCAGATTCGACGGCCTTTTTCGTCAGTCAAATTCAGTTTTTCAGAAGACCTGGCGACTATTGCGTCTTGCTCACTGTGTCGAGGTCTCCCGTGCCTCGGGAGACTTTAGTGCATTCCGAAAGGTGGAGAGCCTGCAGAGCTTCACCAAGACCTTGGCCAAGCAGAATGAACTGGCCGTGTTGGAGGATCGTACCCAAAAGGCGCAAATCCAAAAGTTGATCTCTGGATTTGGATCGTGGATAAGCCTTGGTAGCTGACTTGCTTGGCAGACTGAATCTTCGATCCGCGCCATTAACGAGGAAGTGAGTGTGGAGCTCAAGATGAGCTATTGGTGAGTTATGCACACTGTCCATACTTGCATTGCACTGTACTGTAGTGTACTGTATTGTTTGATAATACATATATATATATATATTTGTTGTACCCGTATTTGTATTTGTATTTGTATTTGTATGTGTATCTCATTGGCGATTGCATTGCGTTGCATTGTAATTGCATTGTAGTAAGTTGTATAGTATGTTCACGACATATCATGTTGTTATCAATGTTGTTGTTTTTGTTGGGGGTACCCTTTTCGAGGGAAGCCGAGGGAACACCCATTTTTCATGTCCCCCTATCTTGAGACAGTCCCTGTGTATCACATCTCCAAGGCGCCCAAGTCACACAAAGCTTAGAGGATCAAGCGCACAAGTCGTGTGTATAAATCTGTCCGACAGAGTCTGTGCCCTCTCAAGGTCGCAAGGCGGCCGCCGCAGCCTAAATTGCCAGCCACATGGGCTAAGTTGCTGTTCAATTGTGAGTTTTCGAGTCAGAGAGAAGTCAGAGGCCTCGAATGATTGTAAGCCTCGAAGGCCACGGCGTTGAAGTCATTGTCCGACCGCGTCACTGAGATGGGCATGGAGGTGGGGCATGTTCGAACAGTGGCGCTGACTCTGCAGTTTGTGGCTTTATACCAACAACTGCAGCGCAGGCGCATACGAACAACACCAGGATTCACATGCTGCTGGACGACCACTCAGGTCACATTGGCCAGATCCCCAAAGTTTAGCCATGTTTATACCTGGGTGCAGGATATCGCCCCTTGGCGAGCGGGCTAGGGGAATTTTAGCAAAGGAGTGGGATAGGGGCACCCATCCCCGTTTTGCAATATTGTGTCCTGTTCCTGTTCAGTTTGGATTCAAGGGGCACCAGAACTTGGACATGCCAATGCTTAGAGGAACCCCCTTATATTGTTGCCCTATCGATTTGGCCCACACAAGGGCTGGATCCCTGGACTTAAATTGTGGGGAAATGCCCCCGCAATCCGCCCAGCCACCACCCTGGAGGACCGGCGATTGCAGGAATAGAAGGTGTCTTCCTGACTGGAGGTTTGTTTGTTGGTGTGCTTGTGTGTGTGTGTACGTGCCTGGATATGTTGTGCGCCTGGGGATTTGTGTGTGTAGTCTTTTGGTGCATGAGCTGCCTTTCTGTGTGTTGTTACAGTACGTATCAGGCGCACAAACAGCTTTGGCTTGTCCATCTGATTGCAGACTGGGCACCGCCCAGGCGGCCTCCAAAAGGAGACCGGCAAGTTAGAGCGCCAGTACGACCTGGAACGTGCACTTCCCAGATTCGACCCCGGCAGAGAAAAAAACGAGACAACGTAGGTGGAACTGAGTGCTTTGAGGCGCCCGGGTGTCGAACTGCATCGTGGCGCTGGAGAAGGACCATCTTACAGACGGGGTCCACTGTGTATTTGCTAAGATTGATTTGAGTGGTAATGGTGAACACCAAAGACAATACGATGACAAATCGAGGGTGCCATTGCGTCTTCAATCAACTCGCGCTCAGAAAGTCAGTCCTTCCACATGCCGTTTTGTTTAGATAGCGTTGAAGTTCTCAGGTTCTTGGATGTCTGCGACTTCATTGCCTCCTCTTAAAGGACTCCATGCCACTATCTTTGCAGGAGATCGCCACCAAGACCAGTGCTGCAGAGACGGACACCCTCGCTGCAAAGCTCAGCTCCGCGGGCAACGCCATCCAGCGGCGGGGCCCACTATGGGCAAGCGGTGGGGTCGATGGAGAACAAAAAGGCAAAGGTGGAACGCAGAGAACACGCGTGCTACTGTAGAATCAGAACATGTTGGAAGGAAGCTTTTGGAATGCCCAAACTTTGCCTTCCAGCTAATACACTCATGGATCATGTTGTTGAACTTCATTGAAGATATGGAGCAGCCAGCCTTGTCAGGATCAGGTCAGGGCCAGTCTCCATGCATTGCGATGCAGTTTGATTTGTTTGAATATCAAGTTGTTCACGATCCGCTTGTGTCACTGGATTTATTCATGTGGTCTATTTACGTAACATTACCGGTGTATCGGTCTTTGCTGATCCCCGTATTGTTGCAGGTTGATTCTTTGTGAGTGATATTGTCAGCTGCAACGTCATGAACTGTCACCATGCTCACATCTTCCATTCATCTGGATTCCACTTGGGTGGTGCCAGGCTTGAGACGTTGGCCACAACCAAAGTCTCCTGCGACACCTTCGAACGTCTTCAGGCCAGCAGGTCTCTTTTGACTGAATCCGGGTTTGCGGAGGCGGCATGACTGTTGCGTCCTTGCCAACCTGACAATGCGATTGGCAGCGGGATCAACTCTTGGAGAGGTTAGTCCTTTCTGATTTCTTTTGATCTTGCAACATATGTGACCGCAACTGCGCCAGGCGCATGCATTTGGTAAACACATCATGATCTTGTTGCCAGGGTCGCATTGACCAGATGGAGGCAGAGCCGCCAGAGATCAAGCACATTCAAGGGCTGCGCCCGTGTGCAATTTGGCCAGCTACTATTCATTCAAGGTATTCATTCAAGGTGCCTGGCCAGACATTTATCTGCAGGTGTCCGTGATCAGAAAGGCAGATAGCGACACAGTGGGCAAGGTCGCGCAAGCAGTGACTGAGCAGGCGGCCGACCATCTCCAGAATGCAGTTGTCATACTGCTTGTGCTCATAACTGAGAATGTTGTCGACATGTGCGCGATTCTCGTTGCCCGCACAGGCCCGGCAGCTGGAGACGGTGGCGAGCCATGTGCGCGAGCACGAGGGGAAAGTGGAGGCTGGACTGGGCCCTCTTTCCCTTTGTTCAAGGTAGTTCTCATCCCCTCCATTTTACATTCTGCCTTGGCAGGTGCTTGAAGGCCGTACAGAGACGCTGAAAGAGCAGGTCCAACACAAGGCAGAAAGTGTGAACGTGGCTAACTTAGCACAGCTGCCAGTGTGGATCAGCGGGCACAACAAGCGACCAGCTATAGAACTGGACGATAAATTCTGCCATTCTTGCGGTCTGTTTTGACTACGTTTGCATGATTTGCCAGCTATTTGTACTGGGGATTGAGCGCAAATGAGGTGTATAGCACGGACGGAGTCGATGGCATGCTGCGGGCCTTCTATAGTCACCGCCTTAGCATGGAGAGGCTAAGGCAGAGCCAAATAACGCCCAAGCTGGCTGCTTGCGAATCAACAGCAAAGTTTACAACAGCAGCACATGATTCATTGGGCCAACTTCAAAAAGTTCTTGGCATGCCCAATTTACCAGATGCGAGAGACGAGGCGCGCAGTTGTGACTGACTGCAAAAGTCTATACACATGGACAAAAAGGGCATGCGGCATGTGAATTGGGTGCTCGTTGTGGACACACACACACACGCACACATACATTTTACCAACATTTTCCACGGGGGATTCCCCAGTGGATGTGTGAAACATCGGTTTCAGAATAAAGTAATGGATGGACAATGATGGATGCCCGCACGCATTGGCCCAGATCGAGAAGAAATGGATGCTCTTTTGTCCAGAGCTTGGCTGGCTTAGATTCGTATTGCTGTCATAGCTTCCACTGAGTGTGCGGCCTTGGGGCCAGAGTTGCTTCATCCGTGTGCTTTGAGGTCGCGAATTTGGTGGCGACTCGGAGATGTCAGCAAGGCTCCCAGCAGCACCCCCAGGCCGCCAACAAGGCAGGGGCCTCAAGGGCGGATTGCATTCGAAAAGGACTCGGGCAAGTCTCAGCCTGCATCCTGCCATTTCCTCGCTTCCTGGCCGCTCTTGCAACCAGGTAATGTCAACCCGCAGAACCTTGCTTGCATGCCTCGGTTGGGCACTTAGCTGATCTCGATTCAGGAAAGCACACAGACACACACATCAAGCTGAGAAGGCTGAGCTACAATGTTGGAGTGATGCGATGAGCCGAGAGCTGGACTGCTTCTTCAGAGTGACTGTGTCCGGACAAGTGGTACTATATGCCAGGCGGCTGCTGACTGGCTGCAAGCGTTCCAGAATGGAGCCAGGACCTTGCATTCGGTGAGACAGAGCGTCAACCAATCAGAATCTATATGCCTGGATCCAGCCAAGCGTAGCACAGTAAGAACGCATGTTTCCTTGATGGCTGATTTTGGGCATGTTGGCATGTTCTGCTGTAGGTGGGCGCATTGGCGGCTATCGGGAAAGGCACGGGGTGATGTCAGGCACATTCAATTCAAAAGCACACTACCCAAAACGGACTGAAGCCGGAGCTTTCGGTATAATTATATTGCTTCTGAAGCCATGTCTTGTTTTTTCCCTTTTGTTTTCCCCGAGGAATGGAATTGTGGCAGGCTACTCTGTGATTGCCTGACGCAATGTATCAATGTGTGCGTGTGTGTGTGTGTGTGTTTTGCAGTTGAGCAACCTTGGCTAGTTTACTTAGTGTCATCCCACTCGGTATTCAAAACAGCTCAGGTAGGTCGAGCTAGATAGGTCGAACAGCGAGGATGAACAAAGTGTCCACGGAGTGGGCATGCGCCATTTGCCAGGTGCCGACTGCAACATGCACCAATGCCATGACATAAGCTGAACCAGGGCACGCACGGTGAGCCTTGAAGACATATTTGAATTTCAACTGACTCTGTAGCTGCAGCCGGTTGGATGATACTTGAATGCATGACAATTGGAATTTTGCCACTTGATTGAGAAGCCAATAGATTGCCGGCTGGCATGTTTGCTTTGGGCTACCCGTGCAAGTCATGCGGCGTGGTGCGTAGGTAATTACTGCACGCATTTCACATATTTTCACATCTTGATTTGACTTTGCCGCGCGCATGCCCCGAGTGCGACTAGCGGCATCTCTGACCTCTGCTGGCCGATGCATTCGGGGGGTGTTGTTTGCAGCAAACTTAACGGCAGGATCACATGCACAATGCGTGGGGTGATTGGGCGCTTTGGAGGACGTGCCAGGCGGGCGTCAGCTGTTTGAGGCTGGTGTCCCGCTCGGCCCAACTTTAGATCTGCTTGGGCAAAGTAATGCAAAGTACTTTTTCATATCAAAGCGCCTGAGGATTCGGCCGCCTTTTTCCCGTGCCGCCTCTATGGCAGCTGAACTGACGGACGCACCCTTTGCATTTTCCCTCTGACGGCAGCGGGAATCGCACAAACGCGAGCAATCGCAAAATGCGGTGTGGCCTGTGTGCGCTGTCATGGTCCGGCCCGAATTCAGAAACTTGCTGCGGAATATTGCCCTTGCTGGCATTCTGGCTCACATCAGCCCCCGAACCACATTCATGGGGGTGCATCCGGCCACTTGGTAGCACGATACCTTCAGGCATTTTCCTGCTCATTTAATGTTGATCCAAAATGGAATTCTGAGCCCTTCAGCAAACACTGAAAGGCAATCACTGCTCTGCACGTGATTTTACATGATCTTTGGTGAGCGATGTGCCTCAACTTGAGGGATTGCGACTTTCTGTTGGAACGCCTCGTCGCTGACTCAACCAAGGTACAGAACTAGACCAGAGCTTAGGGCTGAGACCGTCCACGTGGTGCCCGCTTCAGCGCAGTGTAGTTGAGCCGTCCGGTGGATGGAGAAGACATAGAAGACATAGAAGTTTCATAGAAGGCTCATAAAGCCCGCAGTTGGCACAACTTGTTTGGGCCTGCAAGCCCGAGGCCAGGGCCCGCAAACCACCGCGCCGCAGAGGCTGTGGTGATGTGTGGAAGCACTGCATCCCAGAGAAGTCCCTAGACCTTGTTTGTGTCTTTGTCATTGAGGAAGCTGCAAGTGTAACAGAGCGAAAGTGAAGCTGCACCGCCTTTTGCAATGAGATCACACATGCCTTCATCAGGTGAGCCACAATCAAAACCCGGCACTAAAATCGCTGGGATTGGCCCTTACTAACCTTCATCTACCTCGGTTTTGATTGTGGCTCAGGTCTTATCTTGGCGCTTCAGAGGAGCAGCCATAGGTGGTGGTTCAATTTGGGTTGTGGCAAACTCTATATAAACCTGTTTAGCCATCTTGGTCGAACGGAACCTCAAAGAGTACTGGGCGCTGCTCAGATAGCGTCAGCACGCGTGACATTTTTGCATGGCCAGGTCCTGGCCGGTCTACCTCACGTGACCTTCGTGTGACCCGGGCTTAGGGACTGCAGTCGCACGAGAGCGGGCAATCAGCAAGCAGTCCACTGGCGTTTTGCTAGACTTGAGTCAGATGTTTTGGTGGAATCATGCTCTGTGCTTGTTGTGGTTGGTCTGGATGTCCACTCTTGAGTTGACTTGCCAGACCATTTCCAACTTTGAAAGCCATCTCACATACTCTGTGTTGGAAGCAAGGACTTTTGACTAAATCTTGCCCAAAGACTGGGCTTCTTGACAAAACATACACCGTTGAGCGTTAACACAGTGGATTCTCAGGAACTAAGTTTCCCGGCGCGCGGAGTCCGGCAGCTTGGCTGAGGGGTGGGCAAGGAGTGGGTGCATCAGGGCTTTCAGCTTGGCGCGTTGTAAGAAGGTGCACAAGCATTTTGGGCAGAGGCCATTCTGTTGCGTCGCTGAGGCGTGCGCCCAATGGAGAAGCCGCTTTTCCTGGGCCTGGTCCTTTTCTGAACTGCCTTCATACTTGGACATTGCATTTCACTGCCCAACCCAGCAAGGATTTGCTTTGGTTTTGGTGCGCTTTTTGGCGCGATTGTGAAGCCATATTCATGGCACACTGCTTGTGCGCTTGTCAGCTAGCTAGAGGCCCCGTCTTCGTGCAAAATCCGGATGGCAGCATTGTGCTTGCCTTAGTGTGAGCGCGTTTTACTGACGGACGGTATAGGCTGCTCCCACCAGAAATGTGTGATGGGGCGAGGCTAAGTGAGGCACGGCAGCATCCAGAGCCCAACAAGGCTCCATAAGACCAGCAAGGCTTGTGCAGCCTTTTGTTCGTAAGGCACTGCCATGCACTGCCCTGCCACCCTGAGCAAATCCATGCTGCCTGCTCAAAAGGGCAGCTGGAACATCGAGCACTTTCTCCAGCTTCTGCCTCACAAATGATACCTTAAGGGTTGCTGCTTCATTCAGCGAGGCGGCCGGCAAAAGAAGACCCGGCCTAGAAACAGTCACCGAAGCAGCAATTGCAGCAGCCAGGCAGCGGGAGCAAGGTCAAAGTCCAAGTGAAACGGTGCAGGATAACGCAAATGGACGGACGTCGTGGCAGGGCTTTACAAAGTTCATTGGGCCAGGGCTGTTTTGCGTTTGCAGAACCCTTCCGCCTTCAGTTCACAAAGCGTTCTTCGTGCCCTGATAGCCGCTTTTGGAGAACCTCATCCGATCGCCCTCAGTTGTTTCATTCCAAGACAAACGACAAGACAGAAGCAGAAGCATTGACGGCACCAAACAGGGCTGAGCGCTGTAAACGCAGCATAAATCAGGTTCTTGAGAAGGCAGCGCCATGCTGCAGTCGCAGAAGCCTGGCGGTAGTTTTGCCAAGGGTGCTGTATTTTTTCCGAGGAAGTATTGAGGTTCAACCCCCCCCTTTCGTTTTCTGGGCAAGCTCGGAGGCTTCTTGCAATCTATTTCACTCTGTGCCAAGAGATAGCGGAGCCAAACTCGATCCAGGGGAGTCGAAGCGGCATCGGAAGAACATGTGACGCAAAGACGGCAACCCGCAACAACGACACGCGCCAAGCATGGCACTCAGAGCTTCCAAAGGGAGGCCACACCGAGGTTCAAGGAGTGCCGCCGGGCTTCCATGAGCCCACGCCACCTGGCACGCCGCGCCTAGCTTGGTGCCCAGCGGAAAGGCAAAGGTGTAATTGATCGCTGAACATGTATGCAGGATATGTTGAAGATAATGACTTGTTTCAGCCTGCAATCAAGTATGGATGATGGCCAAGGGGCCATTTTAAGCCTCAAGGTAGTCATACAGCTGTCCATGTGGGGTCACCCTGGTTGTCGAGGGCGCTGACATGAACTTCAACTCATTGAGCTGCTCGGCCCTGTGACTGTATGCGCGGCTGCTTTCAAAGAGAAGCGTTTTCGGGCGCGCCGATTTGGGAGTCATGGCAAGAGAGAACTTCAACCAGCCATTGCATGAAGGTTTTGTTCGGCGCGAGGGGCGTACTCTCGCGTTGTTGCAATGCAGGTCAGGAGGGTTATCCACCGACTTGTGGAGCCTTACTCATTGTGGGTATTGTTTGAAAAGAACAGCGACCATGACGCCGCACGCCAACGTCAACAGGCGCCGACATCGTGCGCGTCCTGGCGCGCCATGAAGCACTCTTCCTTTCCCTTATGGCTGGGGCCTTGGCTGAAGCGTGTTCCTGAAAGGGACATGTGCGCTCGGCACTATGTCCATTTCCCGTGGAAGCAGCAGGCCATGTGGGACATTGGCAGGTGATGCATTTGGTGGTGGTGTGCAGCTTCCAGTACATCGAGCTCCAGTGCCCTCCAGACAGGCAGACAACATTTGATAACCTGAGACAGGCAAAAGCAGCACCCCTAATGCGGACAAGAGAGGAACGAACTACTTGAGAATCAGGATTACTTTATGAGCTGTATCTAGCGCGGTTTTGCATGCGTGTGTGTGTGTGCCTATGTGTGTTTGCATCTGTGTCCCAGCTTGTTTGTGTCTCTGTCTCTGTCTCTGTGTTTGTGTTCTCTGTGCGTGTGTGGCCGCTGTTGGATGTGAAGCAGGTCTTGGGAGACATCGAGTCAAGTCAATGCCTCGATGCATCAATCGCTGTCAGTTCAGTTTGATTGCGCTGATGATCAAATGTCAGTACATTTATTTGCGGTGAAAGTACAGTACTCTACTTTTGATAATCCGATATTGTCATGGGTCAACCTTGTTCCGAAAATCAACTCGCCTGCAACGATGTTGGAAGGTACAAGGACGATGCGGTGATGGAGTTAACTCTGATCTATCCAGATCTGACTGAAAACAGCACTCTCGCCGGGATTCCTCTGTGTATTGCAAGCGTGCTGCGATGAATTCGGACAATCAAGGGTCTAATGTTGCCGAATGGCTTTACTGAGATGACACTTGTAGCCAACTCAAGAATTATCGGAGCAGCTACCAAGTCGTTTTGGTCTCGACGCGATTTGTTTTTGATCATGACCTGCGCCAGCTATTCGGTCTTTGCACTGGCTGGCCTTTGTCGGTGCTAACCTTAGCCTGGGAGGCGTTTTCAATATACACGCGGGGTGTTCGACTGGGGTGATGGTTGCACAGCTTCACAGTATTGAGCATCATTCTGGAAGCTGACCTGCCGCGCGGCATGTACCATAAACACAGAAACTGAATGACCTCTTCGGCCATTTCTCACTGTAGGGCCATTTGCAGGATGATGCTTGATGTGTGTTTCTGTTGCCCGCTCAAAGCCCATCCAAGTCCAACCCCAAAACCAGCCCTGAGCCGACAGCAAGTCCACCTCATATCACTGTAATTTGCACCCTAGATCCTCCCTCAATCAATCCTAAACCAACCGAAGACCACAATGCTTCGAAACAATGTGACTCTACAACATTTGTCCCCCCCCCCCCCCACATTAGAAAGGATAGGACGCCTCCAAAGATGCTCCTGTGTCCAGCGTGTGTGTTGTGGGGTTTGCATATTGACGCACCCATGACAGGTTGCGTTGTAAGAGTTTGGATGAACTGTCCCAACTGCGCCCGCCATATCTTGGAAGAACTCCTTGTGACAAGGCGAGGCCAGCTACTCCATCGCCTTCTTTGGCCTTGGCACGGGCCTGTGCTGGCTGGATGCCTTTGCACCCCATGCACAGCAGTCTGCATTTTTCGTCGCCAGCACGTTTTGCGCTGCCTAGTTTGGGGGGTGGACTGCAGATTGTTCCAAGTCCTGCAGGTGAATTTTCATGTTCAATCTGCAAAACCAGATAAACAGAAACCTGAGGCATGGTGTGCGCCTGTGTGGCCAAGCCGGTACTCTACGCTAGGCAGGCTTTGGCAATGGTGTCACGGGTCATGCTACAAGTTGGATGATTGTGGTTATGTGACCTTCTCACAAAGTGTGTATTCACAAGCTTCGCAGTCACTCAGGCACAGAATGTCTGACGTTTCCGAGCTCATGCGGGTGGTCAGTTGCATGTGGATTTGCCTCGAGCAGATTTGCAGTGGTCGCCCTCATCGGCACATTGGGCCTGGCTCACAGAATCTGCAATTTGTCATGCGCTTGCCAAATCATGCCCACTATTTCGACCAATATTGGCATGCAAGATGGATGGTCCAAGCAGACATTGAGGGAAGTAATACATGCATTTTTGCAAATCTTGCAGTCCACTGATTGGGTGAACGTTGAGGTCAATTGCCCATGGCGTACTTGGTCACTCCGCCGTATTGGAGCTCTTGGGAGCCTGCACTGTGAATCCCCAAGAGGCAGAGGTTGGGCAGCGGATTGCACAGCCCTGACTCGGAGCTACAAGAAACACTTTGGATGTTATTTGGTGTCATGGTGATTGCTACACTACTCGGAAAGTGAAAGGAGGGCATAGAAGCATAACTTGATGCCAGAATCGCTTCAACCTGCTGATCTTCTTTCTGCGCTTCCTTTCCTACGCTTACGCGCGGTTTCTGAAGCGCCCTTAGATCTGCCGTGCTCTGGAGGTTTGAGAGTGTTGCAGACTGAAAATCCTCCACGCAGCCTAGCACAAGCCGGGGCTTTCAGCCCATGCCAAAGTTCATTGTGCATACCACTGTCAAGTGAACAGAAGTGACGACGAACAAAAAATGGTACCAAGCTTTGTACTGGTGTACACATGTCAGTGAGGAGGTCACTTGCAGCTGCCTGCCCCGGGCCTGATGTTGCAGCAGTTTAGTGATTAAGGGATGAGCCAATTCCCGATGCAAATAGTCACCTTTTTTGGAAGAGCTCGGCCCAGCATTGCTCCAAGTTTCGACGCAGAAACAGCGTGGTGAGCCCTGCGGCACCGACTTGAGGTGCAACCTGCTGCGGACCATAGACACGCTGCGTGGCGACACGTTGATCAACGCAGACCCCTGATGCTGATCCCGATGGCCCTGAAATTCGGGGTCTGAGATCGTGTGCCCAGTGAAACAGGAAGAAAATGCAGCTCAACGTAAGCCGCAACAGCATGACGCTGGCTGAACGATGGCTGCAATAGTAGGATTTCGTTCACTTACCGGCTCTTCTTGTGCAAGTTGCAATTCGGGTTGGCCATGCTCGGAGTAGCCAGATTTGACATCGAACATTGACTATTGTCGTTGCTTGGGCCGTTTGCTATCCACTTTAGGAAAGGGGATGACATGCGACACGCTCACCAAATACACTCAGGAAGTGGGTCAACTGTGGCCTACTCGCCGAATTCGCGACTGAGCAGTGCCCAAACACCCAAACAGCTTCCTAAATAGCTTCCGTGCAAAAGAGAAGCCCTGCATCGCGAAACCGTTTCCCAACAATCCGGTCTGCGAAAGTCCGCGAAAGGGCTACTTGGTTTGTTCAGACGAAAGCTCCGCGAAAGGCGTGGGTCCAAGATCCAAGGGGTGGCCTTTGTACTGGAATGTTTGCATTTTCTGAGCTGGCAGGAGCTGCCGAAGCGTACTTGTGCGCTACTCTTGTATCTACTGAGCAGTTGCGATTGTCAAGCAGCTACCACAGCGCCTAGTCTTTTACGAAAGAGCTGGCCATCCACTTTCAAGGAGCCGTCGCGAAAGCGCCGCGAAAGGGTTGATGCAAAGCAAGCCCCCGCGAACGGAAACACACGCGCGAAAGCTTCGCGAAAGCTCGCCCAAGGAGGTTATGAGGTTAACATGGATAAGCAAATCTCAACCTATCTTGAGCACCAATCAACTCAGTTGGGGATACCATTTAATGATAACCATGATACTAATAGTAGTAATAACAATAATAATGATAATAATAATAATATTAATAGTAGTAATAATAAGCCACTAATAATAAATCATAACAATGACAATACTGATACGAGAGAGCACCCATAGGGGACACATTGCCTTTGGTGGCAGAAGGAATTTTCATTGAATTTGGATTCAGCCTTGAAATAAGAATACGTTGCGTTGCATTACACCGAAGCTCGCAGAACGCCCGCGGAGCGGTCGGCGGGGTTCAAACTCTGCGCGCCGGGGCGTGTGTGAGGCAGGCGCTGAGCACACATACCTACATCTCCCGCGGTCACCGGAGAGCAAGTTCTAAGGGCTGCTCGGGAGTGAGACGCTCTGTAACAAATCTCTGTATAGAACGGCAGGTATTGAACTGTGTATTGAACAAACCTATTGAACGGGGTATTGAACGGCAGGGTAACCCCTTCGTAGCCCAATAAATCGGGGTTTGACTCGGGGATTTGACTCCCAGCCAATACCGCTTCAGCATATAAGATCATGGGCTAGAACGGGTGAACTAAAGCCACAGTGTATCCGTTCAATACCTCCCAATTGCCAAGGTGGCTGCTGCCTACTGCCAACTCCTGCTACAA